CCAGAGTTTCTGATATCGAATAGCCTCGTTATGGCGCTATCACTTTTTACATAATTATTTCTCAATGTTTACCTGAGAAAATTGGGAAGACATAGGCTTTAACGTCTCCCCTTGTCCATTCACCCAAAAACCATCTGTGGTAGAAGCCACTGGCTGTCCCCCCAAATCCATCATCCATCCTCTCCTTTCACTGAATGAGAACAGCAGGCAGGCACAGAGCTGTTGACAGTCCCAGTCTACCTGGCAGTCTGGTGTGGCCGCGTGACTAAGTTTTTGCCAATGGAATATGCTGAGAAGTGATGTGCACCCCGCACAGGCTGAGCCTCACAAAACTTCCCCGGCTGCATGAACTGTCCTTCCGCACGATGGTTGCAGGTGACAGCCCTGCAATGGTGGTCCACAGACAGAAATAAACCTTGGATCCCGGAGGGACTGGGGTTGGGGAGCGGAGAGGAGCCCTGCCCTGCACACTTCTCTACCCACCTTAGAACTGCTACTCAGTCAAGAAACACTTTCCTGCCTTAACTACAGCAATGGTGTGATCAGCTTGTGACTACAGCCGAGCTGAACCTAAACGCTAACCAGGTGCCACTGTGAAGCCTTTCCACTGTCCTTCCTGTTCACACAGACAACAGTCACATATGAGACTTTGTTATGTATTTCTGCAGTATTTTTCTGTATATTTTACATTCTTCATAATAATTTAATAGTTGCAGGGTAGTCCATAAAGTAGCATTATTCCATAAATTGTAAGTCACTTCCCACTCTCTAAATAATGCTAAAATGAACATTTTTGTGCAGAAGCCTTATTCTATATTTAAATTATAATATTTTAAAAGCATCATTACCCTAGCTGGTTTGGCTCAGTGGATAGAGCGTTGGCCCGTGGAGTGAAGGGTTCCAGGTTCGATTCTGGTCAAAGGCACATGCTGGGGTTGCAGGCTCGATATCCAGTGGAGAATGTGCAGGAGGCAACCAATCAATGGTTGACTCTCATCACTGATGTTTCTCTCTCTCTCTCCCTTTCCCTTACTCTCTGAAATCAACAACATATATTCATCAGAATCGGCAGTATTCACAGGTTATAAACACACTGTTGAACACCTTTTCATAAAGACTGAATCCATTACATTACTATCTTAATATTCTCATTTTATCAGATTTTGAAAGCAAAAGAATTTTATAAATATATAATGGTATAAATGTAGGTCAATTTGATTTTTTAAAATCCCCCCCCCTTTTTATTTTGCATTTCTTTGATCACTACTGAGGTTGAACACCTTCCCGTTTGCTAATTAGCTGTGTGGATGAAATAGAGGCCACACACTAAAATTGCTCAGGGGAGGCCTGCATGGCAGCCTTACAAACGCAGAGACTTAAAGTAACCACAGAGGACAGTCAGACTTTAAAACTTTCTAACTAAAAGCTGTTCATGACAGGGAGTCATGACAAAGGTCAATGTTTACCTTAACAGAGCCTGTCTGTTTTCTTTTTCTTTTTCTGCACCTAAGATAAACATACCTGGTAATATAGCTTTGGAATTTCAAGCACAAGCACACAGAGCAGAGACCACAAATCCCCTCACGGTTATTATTATCATGTTATCCTATATCCACCTATGTAAAAGAAGTGTCTATCATTTTACTTTTTATTTGACCTCAGACTTTCCCTGCTTTGCTTTCTCCCGCCTCCCCAATCTATCCAGTGAATTTCATGTAACCCTCTTATGCCTCATCCTTTGATTATAAAGTATAAAATAAGTAGTAAAACTGCCATTTTCCAGACCATTTTCTCAATCTGTTGAGATTTTGTTTCCCAACAACTGTCACCTGTTTGGCTCAAATAAACTCATACAAATCATTACAGGTTTGGATGTTTTCCACATTGACAGCTGTACCTCCTCTTCTAAAAATTTTATCTCCTGCCATCAACTAGTGTAGAGTTATACAATGTAACACTAATAGATATTATCAAGAATCAATCACCCACAACTTCAGAAAGCAATTTATTAAAAGTCAGAACAAATATTAAGGCACAAAATATATCCATTTTTTTAAACAAAAATCTTTCAAATAGTTTTGTCTTACATTCAAAGCAACTTTTTCCAAATTATACAATAATTTAACCATTTAAAATAGAAAAATATAACTTCTTAAGTCCCTAACCTTTCTCCCCAAATACGTTGTCCTAGTTCTTTTTTTTTTTTTTTTTTTTTTAATATATTTTATTGATTTTTTACAGAGAGGAGGAGAGAGGGATAGAGAGCTAGAAACGTTGATGAGAGAGAAACATTGACCAGCTGCCTCTTGCACATCCCTTACCGGGGATGTGCCCGCAACCAAGGTACATGCCCTTGACCAGAATCGAACCTGGGACCTTTCAGTCCGCAGACCGACGCTCTACCACTGAGCCAAACTGGTTTCGGCACGTTTTCCTAGTTCTAAGGAAGCTTCTTAGTGTATAATATAGTGAGTTCCTGTGTTATATGTACATTTCCTTAAAAGTCTCATTTGTCACTTATATACATCTGATATGCTGAGGACTTTAATTATTAATATAAGGCCTGGTGTTTGGTACTGCTTACTGCATGCTGTTCATCAGGCAAAGACACAAGTAAGTACCAAAGCCAGTGACTTATAAACTAGCACACATCTCAACTTTAGGCCACTCATGTGCAGCCTAGCACGGCAGACGCAAACCCCTTTTTAGAAAAGGATATAAAAATCACCTTGTACTCAGTCTTGATATTCTAGTAATGCAAACATAGTGTACCATATTACAGGGGGCAAGTCGATATTCTCTACAGGACATGAAAGATTTAAAAAATTATTTTCTTTACAGGAAACGTATGGACACATTATCTCTCAGCCTTAAAAATTCATGTGCTCATTTATTTTTTTTCATTTTTGAAATAAATTAACTATCTTTTAAAGCAGATACCAACTAACTCAAATAATGAAAATTCCCTTTTAATTTTACACAGCATATAAGCCTAACATGAATTGCAAATGCTTTTCTAAGCATTTTGCTTAGAAAAACATAAAAGAGGACTCTGGCCCTCAGATCCCTTCCTTAACAGGAAGGCCCATCTTGATGGCATCCTAAGAAATTAATCTGACCTGGATGGCCTGTTCCTGGAAGCTTCATGCAGAAGCGAGTTGACAGCTGCATGGTGGCCCCTAGGGCGCTCCCTCCTGTTCACATGAGGGGGTTCAGAAGGCCCTCCACAGGAATCCTCTATTCAGGACATCAGGTATCAACCAAGGACACAATGATCACTGGCAGCGACAGGAACAGTGCATGCCTTTGAAAAAACAGTATTTCCGACAGGCCATCAGGATGAATCCTATCAATACTTTCTCTAGGTGATAAGGAAAGCCTGCATTTCAGCCTCAGGCTAAGCCATCCAGGGTCCAACATTTATTTTTCCAGCTGCAGAACATAGGGTTTTTATAAACACTTATTGAGGTTACGTCAGAGGCAGTTTCCGGTCCCACACTGGCCATTGTTCCCACTCCCACCCCACTAGCTGGCAGCTCCTGCTGGCTGGACGCCCAGGATTCTGCATTCAGAATCCAGATACAGCTGTATGATTTGGGACTGAACCTGTCTAGAAAGCTGGGCAGTGGCATTAGGTAAAGATTTTAGGAAGAGGACAGTGGTCACCTCTGTGTCTGAAACAACTTGGGGTAAGAGTGAACTACACCCTCGGGAAGGACATGAATGCTGGGAAATGTACAAAGCTGCTTGATATTCACGACTGAAAATAAAGTTGAAAGTATCTTTTAAGAGACATTACTACTGGAAATAAATCTTTTTTACTAGCCCCTGCGAAATGGATAAATGAGAAGTAAATTCCAAAGAAAAAAAGTTTGTTTTGTGGCTTCACAATGAGATAAGAAAGGAAGATTATATTTAAGTGTTTGTACTGTAATGCTTCTCAATCAGAATCTCTGGGATCGTTCTTCACTCACAAGAAAGACGTGTGACTCCAGCTTTAATTCCTACTCTAAAGGTCACTAGAGCTTTGATCATGAAAGCAGCAAATATTCACACTTCCATCAGACAACTTTCAACTGCCTTTCAAATTTAGAATGTTCTGCATTAGAAAAAATTCAAGTTACACATAATAAAATAATGTATAAAACATGGTTGAAGGTTAAGACATTAATTACAAGACTAACAGTGAGGTACAGTACCGCTTAGTACTCTGCAAGATTACACACAAGGTAAGGTTCGTTCTAGTTCCCTCCACGGTCGCCCTGCTGGCCGGGAGGGCGTGCTCTGAGGGAGCCACTAGCCAGGTGTCCGCCTCCGGCCCGCAGGTTCAGCAGCAGCACACGCACATACAGCCTGAGTGAGGGGACAGTGGCCGAGCAAATCTTTGGAAGTGACCCTCAGGACCACTCTCTCCATGCACTTGTGTCCACTGAGCTGAGAGAGTGAAGACGTCCAGGATTCGATGTGCACGGTGATGACAGACAGGGCTTGTGCAAATGTGTGCACCTTGGTCACATAAATATCCGATGTTCCGGCGTTAACCACGTTCTTATTATCAAGTCACTTCAGTATAAAAGTCAAAGGAAATTACTATGGCATCTAGTGCCTATAAACCCAGGAGATGGAGGCAGTGTTTGACCATGCTTTATTTGCCTCAAAGGTCAGTGGGAGAATAGTAGGAGTGTTTATGTAAAAATAACGCTTCAATCTGGAATTGCCATATTTTCCAGAAAAAAGAGACAACCCAATCCACACGTCTGCCACCCATCAGCTTAGGGCTTTGGGACATATGTTTTATCAAAATACTTTTCTTAGGTGATTTCTAAGTAGGGCAATTTAATGGGCATTAAACTGACATTCAAGAGCCAGCTTAAAAAGGGTACAGAACCCATCCGCCCACTGAATTTTTAATTTGAATACATAGATTTCCAAGATAACACCATAAAAACATGTTGTGTGACCTCTTTTAGTCCTGGGAGTCCTCCACTATTAAATAGGTTTCACATTATCTTTTCTGAAGAGAACATTTTTTCTGCCATTTCAGATCTGGTCATAATTTCCTAAAAAGGAAAAAACAAATAAATAAAAGATTTTCTCCCGGTATCTAACAAGACTCTTGAATCTTTCAACAGTCATGGTTTTTGTGGAGAACTGAGTATATTCCACAATATACAGAGTAATGTTAGGTATAAAAAATAAAACCACATAACCCATACTCCCTAGTACGTCTAGTCGGTTACCCGATGAGAAGTACAGGGAACGTCAACGTCCCACTGGCTAGTACGCATCCTGAGGTCAGAGTCATCACAGGAACAGCTCATCTAGGTATTCATCTCTCTTTACCAATTAACATACTTTTGAATTAGAAATCATGATTTATCAAATGAATACTATAAATGCTCTTTTAAGAATAATTCCATGGTAGAGTTATAAATCCGGAAGTTTGACAGTTTTGCATCTGGGTAAAGTACACTGCAGCCTTTCTAAGCTCCCCATCCCAGGACGAGAGTCACCAACTGGCTGGTGGCAAAGAGCCGGCCCCGCTTTGATCATGAAAGAACAGACTGACTGCAGGGCCCCGTTCTCCAGCCACCGTGCAAGTCACTCCTCAGCACAACTGACCGCCCTCGACTCTTCACATAAGCTCACGCTCCGCAGCCCTCCTCTCATTCTTACACTTCACACTCCTGCCCGACTTGGGCTACCTTCCAAGGTCCAGATGATCCATAACTAACCCCTCCCCCCAAAACAAAACAAAACAAAACAAACAAAAAACCCCCTCAAAAAAACCTTCCTAGGTCTGCATCCTTTATTCAAATTTCCTTAGTAAATGAAAATCAGTCAGAAACTTGATTTAACACCCCAACACAGTATCTTCAAGTATGAGAATAATTTAGACAAACTGCCACCTTTTAAACTCTTCCTATACACAAGATGTAGAAAATCAAAGACTTAAAATCTCCTAAAATAATTCTTCCCTTCGTTTATACCAACAAGCATTTATCTTGCTCCTGCTTTCAGGATCCAGTTCCTTTAAACTTTACCCACTAATCAGCATTATCTTTAAGCTTGCTCACTCTGCGATCGTTTTAAAACGTAACTTTCAACTGAAATGCACTTCTATTTTGTGAAAATAATAGCCCCAAGGAAGTCAGCGAAAATTCTTTACCTCATCCGAATCTACCAATACTGGAAGAGCTCTGGAAAAAAAAAGGGGGGGATGTTATTAAAAGGCCAGTGTCTCTACGAAAGCTGAATATGAGCGCACTACGCTCCACTAAGTTTTCTCCTGGATGGACAGAGCCACAGAGACCAAGACCCGGCTCACCCCTGCAGAAATGGTCCTGGAGTTCTAGCGTCAAACAAGACTGATAAAGAAGACCAGGAATAGCTCCAAGTTCCTATTTTCCTATGCTCATGTTTTTCCTCCAGGAGCTTCCTCACCATACATGGTCATGTGGTTATATGTGATTTACATGTTTGAACTTCTCCATAATGAAAAGGTTAAAACAAAATGATTCTGATCCTATAAACTTAGATCTGAAAAGGCTGGGATAGGTAATAAGGCACAAGTATTAATATAGCTGTACAGTGAAAAAGGGAGGAGAAAGAGAGAGCAAGGCAAGGCTGTGTTTTCTTTGCAATTCAATGTGAAGTAAAACAGTAAATCACTGGTGAAGAGGGCTATAAAAACCCGGAGGTCTGAGGTCTGAGAAGCACATGACAAAGTATGAACTCATCCCTTCACACTTGGGCCAAAATGTAGATTCAAGCTCCAACAGGATACTTACACGTCTGTGAATGAAGAGGGAATATTTTCTTCCACCCACTTCAAATCTTCATCCTGGAGAAATAAACATTTACGTATTCATTCTTGCTTAATATTACTTGAAAACAGAATTTTTAAACAGAGTGTATATAAAATTTAAGCATTTAAATAAAATGCATGACAATCTTTTAATTTGTATATATTTTAAGATGTTGGCACTAATGCCATAAAAAAATTATGCCAGTATTTTCTTAAACAGGCAAACAAATATCTGGATTTTTAATTTTTATATTCTTGGTTTTTGTTAGCTGTGCAGTTATTTTTCATCCTAAAAACAAAACAAAACAAAACGAACACACACACACACACACACACACACACACACACACAAAGAATGGATTTATACAATAGAAAATAGAAAGAAAAATATTGATTTGTATTGATTTCTTTACTCTGAGCATTTATTATGCTTCCTAATTTGTTCAAGTTTTTATGAGTTTTTATTTTTTCAAAAGAAAAAAGAGGATGGTACAAATATTCTAACTTTACAAAACTTAAATCACTTATATTTATGCTGAAAGCAGGTCATTTAGACTATCTAATTTTTTTAAAACAGATACTTGCTTATAGTTACCTCACTGAGAGAGAGAAGGGAAAAAAAGGTATAATGAATATTTAGGTTTATAATGTAAAATAAATCAAAATGTTTCTTTGTGATCTACCTGGATACATTAAATATTCTGGTTCTAGAAATAATAACAACTTGCTTATCTAGAGACAAAGCAACTGAGCCAGTATTAATAGGAACCCATTTCTCTGAGTCTCAAATAGAAATAAGTCAATGAGAGATCAGGCCCGGTTTCTGATCAAGAACTGACTACAGTTAATTTAGAGAAATGAAATGTGTTTGCAAACACTGAGCTTTAAAATAAACTGAAATATTAATATATTCCTAAAACAAGAGGAAAATACCTTAACATAGTGAACGTTTAAAAACTGTAACACTAGAGAATTAAAACTATTATAATTTCTTGAGATTTAAATTACCATAAAACTACTCAAAGAATACATTATAATTATTAATTACCAAAAATGAAACTTAAGAGAATTTACTAAATCCAGCAAAATTATTCTGACAGGTCATCTATCCTGTCAGAACTATGTGCATACATGAATTTTCTATACCATATTGATCTAACATTTTTAATTGTAAGACAGCCATATAAAACTGTATGAGACCTGGCCAGGCAGCTCGGTTGGTTGGAGCATTGTTCCATGCACCAAAAGGCTGTAGGTTGGATTTCCAGTCAGGGCACCTCCTAGGTTGCAGGTTCCACCCCCTGGAGGGGCATGTATGGGAGGCAACTGACCAATGTTTCTCCTGTCAATGTTTCTTTCTCTCTCCGCTTCCTCTCTAAAACCAGTAAAAACACTATTTGGCATAAAGCCTCTTTTGTTTGAGCTGGTTTGAACTTATTAGTATATAAGTTGCCACTCACCAGCCTCTTGCTGGCTCCTGCATAGCTCCTATGTTGCGGGCTGCATTGTGGGGAAGATGTATTACTGACCAGCCAGTGCTGGCTATTTTTGCTGGGATGGCTCCTGTGTTTGCTACTGCATTAGCAAGGATTTACTGGACTGCTTTGTCTAATGGCTCATTAGTGGCAATGGCTACTTGGGCTACAATAGACTCTTATATACCCCCGAAAATAAAATAAATAAATAAAATCAATAAAAACATACCCTTAGGTGAGAATAAAAAAAAAATGGTATATCACCGAGACCGGTTTGGCTCAATGGATAAAGCGTCGGCTTGGGGACTGAAGGGACCCGAGTCCGATTCTGGTCAAGGGCATGTACCTTGGTTGCGGGCATATCCCCAGTGGGGGGTGTGCAGGAGGCAGCTGATTGATGACTCTCTCTCATCGATGTTTCTGACTCTCTATCTCTCTCCCTTCCTCTCTGTACAAAATCAATAAAATATATATTTTTTAAAAATGGTATAATAGGCATTTCAATTTTGCTTAATTACTTCCATAATTATCTTTTCTGCATAAATCATATGCAAAAAAAGTAAAATACTTTAAAACTAATCTCTGCTTATATTTTGTCATCTTGTTTAAGCTTCACTTTTTTAAAAAATGCTAATTTTTTTAACTGAATACATAATATAGTAGAAGTCCCTTCCCAACAGATTATGTTACCAAAATGTCTTCAAAATCACTTTCAAATGCTGAAAAACTAACACAAGCTTTTATTCGAACAAAGCTTTTCCACCTTTATGGGTAGGGAGTCACCTATGGACTCCAGCTAGAGAGCAGATACTGATTCGGCAGCTCTGGAGTATCTGAGTCTGCATTGCTGACAAGTTCCCAGGTTCTCCTGCTATTGTTGGTTGGAGAACAGCACAGAAGCAGCAGGATCTACAGCAGTTATGGTTAAAGGCTTAACCAATATTGCTGCTACTTGCTAACATTTCTTTTTATATAAAAAACATTAGTAAAAAATGTTCTCTTGCCCTGCATGGTGGCTGAATGGTTAGAACATTGGCCTGTGGACCAAAGGGTCACAGTTTTAATTCCTGGTCAAGGATATGTTGTATGGGTTGTGGGTTCACTTCCTGGCCTGGTCGGGAGGCAGCTGGCACATCAATGTTTCTCTCTCTTGCTCTCACACATCAATGTTTCTCTTTCTTGCTCTCTTCCTACTCTTCCCTCTTACTCTCTAAAAAAAAATCAGTGAAAAAATAACCTTAGGTGAGTATTAAAAAAAGAAATGTTCTTCTGGTGGTCAATTAAAGTGACAATTTCTTAAGTATTAAAGACTGAATTATTAAAGATGTATGTTACTCACAAAATTATCAGAAGTTGGTGGTTTAGCTGTTCCATTGGAAACCGTTTTTGAGGTCCTTAATTTTATTCCTTCAGCTATAATGAAAAATGTTATAGAGACAAGTATATAAAATTAAAAATATTTTCCTTCATAGCCTCATATTTAATAACTCATCAAGAAATAATACTATAATTTTTAACAGAAGAATTAACAGTATTTTCTATTTGGTTGTGCTTTCTTTTTCTCCTCCTCTCTCTCCTTCTCCTTTTTCCAAGTTTTCATCTCTTTTGAAATTTCCTTGTCTTCACCAAAGTATTCATGTAGATTTTTAAATATATTTGTAATAATTAATTTTAAAATCTTTCTTGCTAAGTGTAATATCTAGGCCATTTCCTGATTTCTATTGACTGATTGTGCCATTAACTATGGATCACAGTTTCCACTTTATCCCATGTCTAATAATTTATCATTGCATATTGGACACTGACAATGTATCATACAGACTCTGGGTTCTCTCATCTTCCTTGGGGAAGAGTTGCATTGCATTCTATTCAAATGATTGATTAGAGTATTATGGTAAAATTAACAAAATGCTATGTAGAAACTAAATAGAAATATGAAATTAGCACTAAAACCATAATCAGAAATGCTCTGGACACGACTGGGAAATTACAGACGTGCCTAATTTTAAAGAGCAAGCATAGATGACTCAAAGAAATTGAGAAATCACCAGTAAGATGAATATATACCAAATCACTTTTGTAAAAAGCAGTATACCTACCTCACTAGAGCAAATCAGTAACAAAGCTCAAACTACATTAATAATCTTGAAAATTTCATTACTGATTCCTCTTTTATGAGTATCTAGCATAATAGAAGTTTCTACAGATATAATTTTAAAAATATTTTATAAGAAAAAAAAAATGTATCTGACCTTACATCACAGGTAAAGATATCACTTTTTGTTAAAATATATAGAATTATCACTCAGTAAGAAAACATCTCACTCACTTAAATTTTCAGAAGTTACCATGTATTCTTCAACTTCATCATCAGAATCATCAATTAAGGGCATGAAGGCATACCTGTGTCAAAACAAGTTTTATTAGTGTGTTTAAGGCTGTTCAATTTTCATCTTTTAGCTAAAGAGTCATTACACATAAAAACATCTACAATTTTTAAAGTTTCACATAAGTTAAAGTAAAAAGTTAATTATTGCCGAAACCGGTTTGGCTTAGTGGATAGAGCATCAGCCTACAGATTGAAAGGTCCCAGGTTCGATTCCAGTCAAGGGCATGTACCTTAGTTGCGGGCACATCCTCAGTGTGGGATGTGCAAGAGGCAGCTGATCAATGATTCTCTCTCATCAATGTTTCTAACTATCCCTCTCTCTTCCTCTCTGTAAAAAATCAATTAAAAATTAATTATTTTTACTATCAAATTAGGAAGGTTTTTGTTGTGAAGTAATTGTGAGCGAGATCTGTCTGGAGAGCAGTTCTGCAACGTGTCATGTTCAGGGAGGGGACTCTTGTCCATGCCAGGTCTCCCTCCCTGCTCACACCATTTAATTCATGCCCCAACAAAAGAGAAACTGCTAATCTGACTGTGAAAATAAAACACACGAGTGAGCCACATTTACTAGGTCCAACAGCATTCAAAAGACATTGCTGATAATAATGGCAAAAACCCTAAAAATAAAATGTTTAATATTCAGGGACTGCTTCCATAAATTATGCTACATTCATAACATGGAAGGCCATATAGCCATTAAAAGTAACATGGCAGAATGGTAGATCCACACCAGATAATGTGTATATTTTCTTTTTAAAGTATGTCTCTCTTTTCTCCTATTGACCCCTCCCTGATCACTCCCACCCCACAGTTCCATGTCCATTGGTTTGGTTGATCTTTTACATTCCTCCCCTCCCCTGCCTTCCCTCTGAGGTTTGACAGTCCATTGGGTGCTTTTGCCTGCTTTTGCCTCTGGATCCATTTTTGTTCATCAGTCTATGTTGTTCATCATTTTCCATATATGAGTGAGATCATGTGATATTTATCTTGCTCTGACTGGCTTATTTTGCTTAGCATAATGCTCTCCAGGTCCATCCATGCTGTTCCTTCTTTTTCACAGCAGCATAGTGTTCCACCGTGTAGATGTACCAGTTTTTAATCCACTCATCTGCTGATGGGCACCTAGGCTGTTTCCAAATGTTAGCTATTATAAATTGTGCTGCTATGAGCATAGGGGTGCATGTCCTTTCTGATTGGTGTTTCTGATTTCTTGGGATATATTCCTAGAAGTGGGATTACTGGGTCGAATGGGAGTTCCATTTTTAACTTTTTGAGGAAACTTCATACTGTTTTAATGTGGATATGTTTTAATAAGAAGGTGCAGAATAGTGTATACATATAAATATATATTACTGTCATTGTGTAATTTTAAAAAGAGACACTCTCCCCTACGCCCCACACACTGGTACCTTCTTATACACTTTCCTCAGTGCTTTTCTTGGGGAAGAGGAATGAGATGGAAGAGGTGGGGCTCCCTGTCACATATTGTCTAAAGTGCAACGTTCTGAACTTAGCATTCAAGTCTTTGCCTTTCTCCAGTGTACGCAGCATGAACCAAACTGCATGCCTTGATGACCTCCAAAGCATACCTGGTTTCCTCACTACCCCATAAATGTACTCTCCTTCCCAGTTCAGTCCTTCACTGCCCTGCTCCTTTCCTTATGACAAAACAGGAATCCTGCCTTTTGGAGTCTTCCTCACCTGCCTCCACTTGCCCCTGGACTCACCTGACATACCTTTGATTTCACTGTCTTGCATCTGTGATGTGTGTCTCCCCACCTGACCATGTACTCTTGACAAGCATGGTCTACTCTCCCATAGTCTCTACAGACATGTTAACATCGCAGCAGTATCAACAAATGCTTGCCAAACCTGGCTATTTCTCTGTTAGGTACCTTTGATTATTTGCTGATGGTCTCCACAAAAACATTATTACCATAAGGATAATTGAAAAGAGGAAGCTCCAAAATGCTTCATCAACCCAGATTTCCATCCAATCCTAAAATAAGAACAATTCAAACATAAAAAGTTAATTTTCTAATAAACTTAAACATATAGATTTTTGATTCAAATAGTGTGCAATGACAAGTCCTAATGAAATCTTTCCAACTAGTTAAGTCTTCCAAGTAAATAAGTACACATTTTTAAAGAAAACATAAACTAAGAAATGCTATTTTACAGAATTAACATTGATAGTTACTTTCGCCTTACAGCCAATCAGATGAATAAAACTCTAATATAAATTATATCTCATTGTGTTATAAAAAGAATTAGTTTAAAGGCACTTCAGAGGTCGTTTTAATGTATTTTCTTTAAGAGAACAGATATGAGGCAGGTTAATTGCAGAATTAGAATCAAATTGACAATGGGTGCAGTAGCCCCTCTTATCCACCGTTTTACTTTCTATGGTTTCATTACTTTGGTCAACTGCAGTCCTAAAATATTAAATGGCAAAGCCCAGAAATAAATAATTCAAAAGAAATTTAGAGAGAGAGAGAACATATTCACATAACTTTTATTACCGTATACTATTATAATTGTTCTATTTTATTTTTGTTAATCTCTTATTGTGCCTAATTTATAAACTTTATCACAGGTGTGTGTGTGTGTGTGTGTGTGTGTGTGTGTGTGTGTGTATATATATATATATATATATATATATTTTTTTTTTTTTTTTTAAGAAAAAACCATAAAAAACATAGTACACTGTATATATAGGATTTAGTACTATCCTATCCACAGTTTCAGTCCACTCCTTGGAATATATCCTCCTCAAGTAAGGTGGGGGAGGGTGGGAGACTGCTGTATTTTTGACAGTAGAATTTCTAATGCGAAAATCTCAATGCAGTACTTCTGCCAATAGGTTGTTCTGCTTTTAATGAGAAAGGAGGTTTTATCATGATGTTTGAAACGTTTCTAAAGGGCTGTTGTTTAACATTATAAACATTCCCTTCCATAAAATTTTAGGGTTAACAGAAAGATTTAGAAAACAAAGGTGAGGGAAGGAGAGAAAAGAAATTCCATAAAGTCAGTCTCTGATCTCATTAACTCATCCCTAAGGCAACGGAAGTCCAGACTGTCCGAGGGCTGCTTGTAACTGTTCCCACAGAACTAGAGACAAGGTCCTAATCAAGACACCCCCAAAAGAGGGCCTTTTAGGGTTTCAGTCTAAGAAATATCTCCCAACTCAAGAACTCATGGCGAGCATCTCCTGAGTGTTCATAATGGGTGAATCGCCCTAGAAACATGTCAGGCTGAAGGTTTACAATCCCATTAGATATGGAATAGCCCAAGTTCATGGTGTGCAGGAAAAAAAGAATTTCCTGCTACCTTAAATTATATATGAGAGAATTATCTTTCCAAATCTATGAAAGGAAGTTGAGAAAAGGGCATAACTGGAAAAGCAGATTTTGGAGAAACTCTCGGATTTACTGGAGGAGGCCTACATTTTTATAATTCTATATCAAATAATTCAGGGTAAACAGAAAATCTCCCCTGCAATTACCTCGATTTACAGACTAAATTCTTCAAAAGTACACAAAACAAAATAGTATAATTAAAAACAAAATCTATTTAGATTGTACTTACTGATCGACATTTTGCAAATCTAAATGTCATAACTGTCCACACCATAAACACGACAGAAGCTGAAACACACACAAAAAAGTCAGCTTTGCAGGAAATGTGATCCTGAAATAATGTTATAATTAGAAAAGTGCATTACTTACCCAGCACAGCAAAGATCAGAGTATTTGTAAAGTGCCTGTATAAAGAAAATTTCACCATGTTCTTTCTTAGCCTCAGAGTCTTCATAGTTTGTGCTGAACTTATAAAAATGTGAACAAGTTAAGGAAAAACATTTTAAAATATAACAAACTAAAATCAAAATAAGAATCTTTTACATTTCCAAAACTGGTACTGCTGAATACAGTTCCATTAACTTAAAGGTAATAGAAACACAGGAAACATAATTTTAGCTGGTGCTGTATAATCATGATACTGATTTATTGCAGATTTTGCTTTAAAATCCGCTTCTGAAAGATCCTGGAGGAAAACACACAAGCAAGAAGCCCCACGGCGTCCTCCTCAGGTCCCACCCCACAGGCCGGAGCAGCGCAGGGCCCGCCGGCCCCTCAGGCAGGCGCTCTGCAGGTCCTGGGATTTCCCTCTTGCCTTGTGCTTTTCTCTTTCTCTCTAGTCGATTCTCTGACTGTAATTAAGAAATCGCATCATCTAGCAGTTCCATTTTATCAATTAAAAATTGAAACATGTCAAATAAAACAAATCTGGACTTAGGTAAGGACAGACTTCTTTCCAAAGACAATTGCAGAAGAAAGAATGTTCATTGTAAGATCTTTAGATCACACAGGAGAGGGCTCTGCTCTTCCAGGGAGGAGGAAATGGGACTAGAGAGCTCAGGTGTGGGGCAGGGGGTGGCATGATGGGACAGTGCATCAGGGAACAACTTTCGTGGGATCTGCAGGTTTCCAGGGGGGCTTTTCCAGAGGCCTTGGGGGACGAAAGCTCAGGAACCTGGGGGAAGGTGACAGCTGTGTGGTCCACATCGGTCAGCCGGTACATAGGTCTGAGTATGGCCTTGGCACAGGTAAGCCCTGGGGCATGGGAATCCCATCTAAGCCTTACAGGAGAAGGGAGTTCTCTGTAGTAGCCTCTTCCCAGAAGGTGGAAGGGCGGGGCTTTCCTCACGGCAGCGGTTCACCAGGAGCTCGGGCTCCTGTGATGTTCACACTCTCAGGTGTGAAGTACAGAAAGGCCTCTGCACAGGCTCCTCAGCAGTGAGGCTGAGGCAGCCAGTCCGGCTGTGCATGGGAGCTGCGCCTCTGGAGCACAGCACCAGCTCTTCATGAACCACACACGGAAATTACAGAGCTGAGCAAAAGAATGCAAGTGGAAAATTTTCCATTTATGCCTATTTCAAATTCCAAATACTCACTAATCAAAAACTTTTTTTTAAAAGCAGCTAAAACCACCAAAACTGATTTTCTAAATGAGCAAAAAGTTGCAAAAGATCAATATCTAAAATCACACAATCCAAACAATTAAGCTACTCTCAGAATTTATAAAAATGCAAATGTGCTGTATTCCTTAACCAGTTAACTGCCACGATATTTTGCATTTAATTTTAAAAGTTCCACCGCTTGCATCTATCGACGCTTATGGCGTACAGATGGTTAAACGTCATCAAGACAAATACTTTTTAGAAATTCTCGACTAAAACCAATTTTCTGTGTCATTTAATAACTCAAAAGTGCTGCTAAAAGCCAAGGAATGAAGAGATCAAAGGCAAATTCAGAACTGCCTATGCCTGCACTTACCAAAACTCTGCTAATGGAGGGAAGCGTAACGTTTCTCACATTATAACAAGGGTTAGGACAGTGGACGGTGCACCATCCGGAGGGGCAGCCGTGGGACCCGCAGGAAAGGATATCCACCAGCACAAGCCAGAGTCAAGAAGAGACAGAGGGAGGCTGGCCAGAAGCACAAGATCAGAGTCATTGGCCTGTAGCAAAACAGCAAAAAAAATAAAACGAGCAGAAAACACAGGAGGGAGATTCATGAGAAAGCCTGTGGCTTTAAAATTTTTAGGTTATTTCTGCTATCACTTCAGAGTTAGATTTGTACCAGATTAGCAGCAATGAATTCACCAAAAGCAAAGGAAGCAAGGGTCCTTATGCAAGCACTCAAGTCTCTAGGCAGCCCTGCTTCTTTGCTCGTCATTTGTATCATATGGGAAATCCACTCTCTTTTTTGTACAGAGAAAGCAGACCTTCAGTAATAAAAATTACCAAACAGACCTAGCCAGTCTGACTCAGTGGATAGAGCGTTGGCCTGTGGACTGAAGGGTCCCGGGTTCGATTCTGGGCCAGGGCACCTATCTCGGAGGTAGGCTCCTTCCAGGTCAGGGCTCGTGCAGGAGGCAACCGATCGATGTGTTTCTCTCATATCAATATTTCTCTCTGTCCTTCCCTCTCTCTTCTACCCTCTTTAAAAATCAATAGAATAATATCGTCAGATGAGGATTAAAAAAAAAAAATCATCGAACAGCAACCTATTATAAAAGAAAGCACCTTCTTTTAGGTAAATTTCCTTCTCGCACCATGAAACATTTACAACTCATGGATTTCTTCATGACTTTTATCTCACTTTTTATTAATATTATGCCTTACTAATCTTTCACCATGTTTTCCTTATTTCCTCACCCCAATTTGGCTTGTGATGGAACAACCCAAAGCAATGCCGTCCATAAAGGCGAGAAATTACCCTCATTCAAGTCCAGATGGAATTAAGAGCCTCAGAGCTGCAGTCCTGCCTCTCCCCCTTCCAGGGTGCGTGCTGCCTGCCTTTCCTAGGCCAGGTGAGCGGCCCCCCGCCTCCCCCCTTCCAGGAATGTCCACACCGACTGCCCCTCTCCTAGGGCAGGCGAGCTTCCTGCAGTGACGCACCTGTCAGAACAGGACCTGCAGCCCTAGGGTCACATGCAGAACAAAGGAATGTACTTTTACCTTTTCAACAACCAAATGTCTTCAAATGTGCTTTAATATGAAAATTCCTACTAAGATGTTTATTCCACTCTCTGACTAGTAGCTCTAGACAGAAGTAGAATACAATTTTCAATCAAGTTCCGTCAGAAACAACTCTTTAAATCTCAAGTACTGTTTCTTAATGGGACACCCTTAGACACTAGGGGATCCATGAATATAACTTGGAAGGACTGTAAATGCCCCACTGTGTGGGTGGGAGCACACCTAACCCTGTGCAGAGGCTCCAGGCCTCTTTCCACTTTCAAAGGCATCTGATCCCAGGACTCAAGCAAGACTGAGGACCCCTGCTTTAGAGAATAAGGCTAATAAAGTTAATGTTTTGTTTTCTTGTAACTTGGAAGCAAACTGAGAATTCACACAGAACAGGCAGACCTGGCCTAGAAGGACCCCAGAGGGGCTGGGAAAGCCTCAGGGCACGTGGCAGGCCCAGCTGCTCCCTGGAGAAGCACCTGGGCAGAGGCAAGCCCTCCGCCTTCCCCTGAGCGACAAAGGTGAGGAAATGAAAAGAAATATAATACAAGGAAGACAAAGTAGCCTTTCATGCTAAAAGCTAAAACACAAGTATCAAAGACAATGGGAGACAAAAAAAAAAAACTTGGTAAAAATGAAACATCTATAGGAGAGTTTTAGGAAGAACATAAATGCGAAAGGAAGAAATGGCAACACGGCCTCAGCCACCCAAACAAGACGCGTGGGAAATCAGTGCTCCGGTCCTGCAGATCCCTGCCTTCTGCTCTGACCAGGCCGTAGCTCCTCCAGAATTCCGCCATTTCCGTGAGTACACGTGCAAGGCCCCACCGGACAGGAAACACATGGGCGTACCCAGACTCCAATGAGTCCTGAATCAAGGATCACTCACACTGCCCTCAGACTTCTGCTGTACTACGTCTTCTGTCCGCCCCCTCAGCCAAACCTGCTCTCCTGCTGCCCTACGGCAACCTCCGCATGGCGGGAGCCACTGTGCCTCGGGAATCCCTCTCTGCCCCTCTGGACTCTAGACCAGCCCTGTAACCGAAGCTCTCCCAACCTCCATTCCCTACCACCTCCTGGTTCTCCCACCTCCCTCTACGTGGTGCTCCTCCTGCACACAGTCCGTCCACCGGGCCTCCGGTTCCTCTCCTCTCGCTGTTCTGTGTTCTCCTTGGGTCACTTCCACCCTGCGACCTTCTCTTGAACAAAGGTGATCTCCACCTTCACCACCAGTTCTGACTCCTCTTGCAAACCCAGGCTGGGATTTCCAACTCTTTCTCATTCTTATTCTCCAGCAGCTCAAACCTCATCCACACGGCCCCTTCTCCAAGCACCACCTTGAGAATGGCAACTCTGCTCCAGCTCCCCAACCAAACAGGACTTGGGGGACTTCTCTGGAGCCTTCTCCTTTTCTGCCACCATTTCTAGCAACTCTATCATGTGGAGTTTTTCTTTGTTTCCTCTGCCCTCACCACTGACTACGTACAATTTTAAGGAAATATAATAAATGACTTCTTACTAGACTTCCTGTCTCTTGCCTCTCATTTTTCAAATCATCTTTTTAGGCCATCCTTGAGTTCTAACACACATTTCATGTTTTTCCCCTGTGAGCTTCGATTCCCTCTTCTTTCTACCTTCAGAAGGAACTCTCATTGCTTGAGCAGGTCATTCTACCCTTCCCTCTGCCCCGCTTTCCATGGCTCCTACACTGCTGCCCACAGGCAGCTACTCTGGGGCACTCTGCCACTGTCCATATATTTCACGCTTCCAACTACATGTTCCCCTCAATTCTTCCCAAAATGCCTCTTCCCTGATTCTTTTCCTTCTAAACCTATTTGTCCTTCCAGTCTAATGTAAACATCATCATCTCTACAAAGTCTTTCCTGCTTTCAAGCTAGAATTACCTTCTTTCGTTCTTCTGTTTGCATGACACCTTCCTAAAATGGCCAAGACTATTGCTATTTTCCTCGTAGTTATTTTTGTCTCTTCTACCTGACCATGGATTCATTAAGCACAGAGACACTACCTTTTTCTTCCAGGCCTCCTCAGTATGGGGTACACAATAAGTACTTAAGTTTGCTGAACTAAATAGAAAAAAAACAAAGATATTCCTTTTTGGAGAGTTGTTACTTTTTCCACCTTCAACTAAATTCCTGTGTTGAGGTAACAATAATGTAAAACTATATTTCTTTCTATTATTAATAATACAAATTAAAGTAATATGATTTTAATGCTATAATAAACTATTTAGAAGGACAGAGTAAAGGATATGAACCATACAAAAATGGTGTCGATAATTGCTAAAATAACACCAAAAGGAACAGCTAAATGGTTAGAATCCTGAAAGATAAAAATAGGGAAAAAACTGAAAGTAAAAGTTTCATTAAATTACAGGAAATACCTGATTTAAGAAAAAAACAAACACAACAATTCAGCTTACAGCATCGCTTTATAAAGGCCACAGAAAAGATTTTTACCTCCCAACAGAACTGCCTTTAAGCACATGAAGATGATCTGTTTTGTCACCAACTTGTTTTAGGACAAGGTCTAACCAAACTATGGAATGGCAAATAGAGATACATGTCCCCAACCCCACAAGGTTAACCTCCCCTCTCCACACCAAGCCTGCAGCCACAGCTACTGGGAAACAGACCCTTCTCTCTCCTACTGAATGCAAAGGATGTGGAGAAAGTAAAATAAGGAAAAGGAACTGAGTGGAAGGGGAAAACAAATCACTGATCAGCCACTTACTCTAATCAAGAGCTGACAGAGAAGTGTATGTAAATCACATATCTACAATGTTGACTATGTAAAATTTCAAGGAAATATTACATATATACTGTATCTACATTGGAATATCTTTTTTCCCCTATAGAGATTTAGTTTCCCGAAAGTGATATATAAATGCAGAGTTCTTCATTGTTATATAAAGGTAAAAATAAATACCCCCTTCAAGAATCAAAGATGAAAACAGCAGGGGTACCTAACACAGAATGCAGACTATCAAGACAACAGAAAGAAGAATGAGGCTTAACATTATGGGACAAGTGTCCTGTTTTAAGGGTCTGAGCAAACATGTAATTGAACTTAGACAATATATGAATAAACCATTCTGTGCAGTAACCTGATTTATATACCTAAGCCAACATGGTGAGGCAAAAGTTACAAGGCTCTTTAAATCAGGCACAAAATAAGTTTAATTACTTAGTCGTCAGTTATATTAAGAAAAACTGAGAATTAAAAATCTAAGGCTCATCATAGACATAACTATTTTGACTACTCTCGAGAGGAAAGCATTGCTGCCGTAGCACCAGCAGTTCCCTTGAACCTACCTGCTCCTGTCTCTTTGAAAGTCCTGTCTGCTGAATCCCCAAAATAGCGCTTCTACAGCGTCAGAGAAAACTTACCACCAAATGGGACTTAACAATGAGATTTACAGTATAGTCTCCATGCATACAGGCTACAACAGACTTTCTCCTGACTTGATACATGTTTAAGCCAAGGTGTAAGGAAGAAACGCATGTGTACAGACTGAACGACAGAGACAAACGTTCTTTAAAGGAGTAGCTATGAATGTCTTTGAGATGCAGCCAGTCCCACGTCATTTTAGGAAGTGCTCTGCCTTGCCTTTTACTTTCAAGGAAAATATTCCATAGAAAATAAAGCTCAAATTGGGCCTTTTTCATGTATTTCCTATCTTTGAAAATTCAGCCCTAGCTGGTGTGGCTCAGTCAGCCTGCGGACTTAAGGGTTCTGGGTTTGATTCTGGTTAAGGACACATGCTCGGGTTGCAGGCTTGATCCCCAGTGGAGGATGTGCAGGAGACAGCTGATCAATGATTCTCTCTCATCATTAATGTTTCTATCTCTCTTTCCCTTTCCTTTCCCCTCTGAAATCAATAAAAGGTATATTTAAAAAAAAATTCATATGGGGAGATAGAAAGTAATAGCAAAAACAAAAGGGGTGGTAGTGAATTACGCAGTTTTTACCCCAACAACTCTCAGCACGCCTTCGACTGCTGCAAAGATGAAGTAGAGGAGCCCCAGTCCGATCACCCGGTGCATGACTGTCCCTAAGCGAGGCCTGGAACAAGGAGGAGAAAACGGAAAAAAGGCAAACAAACAAACAAACCATTGGTAAGTTGGATGCATCTGAGAACAGGCACTGCCCCCATTTCAATACCAGAGAAGCGCCCGCCTAACCAGGTCAGTATTATTCCACCCCGAGGTGCTTTGTTATAGGAAACACCACATTCCCTGGGAACAAGGCGGCAACAGGCTCAGAAAAGAAGCCTCTTCTCTGGCACTGGAAGCCTCCTTCTCTGGCACAGGGTTTTGCTGCCGAGATGGCAGCACATGATGCACATTATCACCCAGCCCAGGAGTGATGTCACACAGAAGAGCAGATGGGAGAAACCTGGGAAGCTGAAGGGCAACTCCTGAGTGTCACTGGCAGAAATCGTAACTCTTTTACTGACATTAAAAACTGTTCAGGGATATGCTTTGGAAGAGATAATCTGCTGATTTCTGGCTTGGGCAGAGAAAAAGCAAGGTATTCAGAGATCAAATTCTCTCAATATCTGAAACCAGAATGCTAAGACGTTAGTTTTTATTCTTTCAATGCAAAAGAACTAAAATAACAATCCGAGTCTTTCAAAATATAAGTGAATTAGAAAAATGCAAAGATGGTGATTTCTACAATTAATAATGTGAAAATAGAACTGAAATTTCATGACATTTGCAAGTTAGAATTTATTAGCTCAACTCACCCTCTTCTCAGAATAAAAAAATGGTTTTGAAAAAAATATTTAAATTTGTCTTTTTAAAACAATTATCTAAGTAAAAATTAATCTAGCATCCACAACTCATCTGTAAGACTAGCTATCTAATTTAGGTCCTCTGAGTTCTGGCTCATAACAGCCAGCTAAGAGGAACCCTCCAACAGCCGGAGTGTTAGGCCTCACTCCACGAGAGCTGACACAACAGACTGACGTGAAGGAATGCGCTCACCAAGGGCTATGCCCGTACACACAGCTCAGCCTCCTGTTCCCTGGAAGCAACACACTCCACACCGAGGCACCTGATGTTCATAATGAGAACAAGGAGGTACCTGAGATGCAACCAGAGGATTCTGTGCTCTGTATGCTGTATCAAGCCCCCAGCCTCAAAGCAAAGCATCTGAGAAGGAATCTCAATGAAAAGAAGCTCTCCTGGCTAAAATCTCGCTAAGTATACCGATCCTGAGCTCACACACATGCATGTGCGCATTCAGTGCTCTTTACTGAATGACCTGTGCCAGGGGTAGCACTGGGGCCTCAGGGTACACAGGACAAAAAACAGGAAAACTCCTATTCCACTCCTGTCAGGGGAGGCAGCAATGCTAACACATGCATCCAGTGGTCTTGTCAAGAGGGTGGGGCTCTCACGGAGGGTGGGTGCGGCGTTAGGAATCCTTGCAGGGCTGCCTTCCTGGGGAGAGGACAGAGGAATAGATACTGAGGAAACAGAGGGGGCACACCATGCTTGGGTCTGGGGAAGAGGCCCTCCACTGAAAGGAAGTGTGTCTTTTTTAAGGAACAGCAGCAGCAAGACAGCCAGAGGACTGAGCAATGTTCAAGAGGGAGAAGGCAGGAGAGGGGACAGCCATCAGAAAAGCCACAGGAGGAATTTGGGTTTTATAAGGAAAATGAGCAGAAAATACTAGCAATGAGACCTGAATTACATTTTAAAAGGACTGTCTTAGCTACAGCTGTCTGAACAGACTGACAGGAGACCATGTCAGAGGCAGGGAAACCAGGAAAAGGGCCCAAGAGGTTTGCAAGATGTCAGTGCCCTGCAGGGTCAGGAATGTACAGCTGAAGGGTAGGTGACATGTGACAGGGGAGGGCCAGCGGAAGGTGAGGACCAAAGGCCAGAGGCCGCACCAGGATCAAAGAGTGACTGGAACTGACACATCAGAGAAAGTGAACAGGAGAGGCAGTGAGAGCTGAAGAGTGGATTGTTTAAAACTCTGATGATGATAAGGATTCAGGTACACAGTCATAAAATCTTGAATCCCAGCAGAGGTGAAGTGAAGGGCAAGACAGCAGAGGTGATGAGGTGAGGAGATCAGGTTACTAACGCACAGGGAATTCTGGTGGAGACAGGGAGCAAGGGCTCAGCCAGTTAAGGGATGAGAGAAGAAACCTGGACAGTGACAGGAGCCACAGCAAGATGGGGCAGGCGGTCCAGCCTGAAGGCCTGAGCTCCAGGAGTCAGAGGGTTTTAGGGGAGAGGGAAGAATGGTCTGAAGATGAGAAAGAGGAGAAGCTCTTTCACATTCAGGCCCCTGGACTCACAGGGATGAGAGGAAAGACCTACTTGAAAGGGTTGGGAAGAAGTGGCTGCTGAGGGGTCAGGATTTCAGTCAGAAATCTTGCTGACTTGGTGGTGAGCCTTCTCTTAAGATGACCAAATACAGTCATAAAAGCGTAACTATGCTGTTTAGAAAATGGATTGCACTTCAAGGACTATTTAAATTTTTCCATATCCTTCAGTTGATTATTCCCTGAACTATAAACAAACAAACAAACAAACAAACAACAACAACAACAAAAACTACTGAAATTCTAACTCGGGACCTTGATTTTGAGACCCTGACAAAGTGCTCGGCCATTCCTAAGGAACGTGTTCCTGCAGAGGCTTCCCTATGGGGTTTGTGCAATGATCCTGAGAGGTGTCCAGCCTCGCAGGGTCACAGTGGGGGTGGCTAGTCGCAGGACTACAGATGCCATGACTTTCCAGCACAGCGGGACTTACTTCACGATGCCGTATCCCAAGCTCATGATGATCACCAGGAGGCGGGCCAGTGTCCTCTTGATGGCAGATATCAACTCCGCAAATATCAGCAAACCTTGGGCTGAGGAGAAGAAAGCAGCTCACTCTGTGTACGTCTGGAGGCCTGCCACCAACTCTAAACATGTAGCACATACAGTGACATCTGACTTCAGGTGGATTAGCCATATTGGATCTCCAAGGACTAACTCAACTGATGTTGGAAACCTCAGTGAAGGGGATTCACTGCCAGCTGAAGAATTCTCCTTATCCATCAGCACTGCTGGGCACAGCTTTCTTGTACCAGCATGAAATCTGTGTACCTGAACTTTCCTCCATGGCCAATCTCCCCCTTAGTCCCTTACAGTCTTTTCTCAGGATGCCTTCATCTTTATTCACATGTGGCTACAACAGTAACAGAGATGCCATGGTCCCTGCCTCAAGAGCCCATACTCTGGTTAGGACAAGTCAACAGATGAAGCCCAGCCTGGTAAGTGACAGAGGCAACACAGTCCACTGGATTGTGAGGAAAGCCAAGCTAACCCACTCGTGGGGAGGAACGTGTGAATCCAGATAAGTTTCGCAGCGGAAGCCACATCTAAATCAGGATCTGAAGGCGCAGCAAAGTAAACTACCTGGGAGAGTCAGAAGAAGCAAAAGAATGGCACATCCGAAGGTAGAGAGGAGACAAGAAAAAAAGCTAACAGTGCTCTGAGAAGTGAAATTCAGCATGTCTGCAGCAGAGCATAGTAAGGAGGGTGCCGAGGAAATAGGCCGGGACAGGAAAGACCAGTCACCAGGCTGTAGGCCATATTCTGAATCTCAATCTGAAGCTAAGGGCAGGGTGTAATCAATAGTAAACGAGGGAGTAAAAGACCAGATCTGCCCTTAGGCCTGTTTTTATAAATCAAGTTTTATTGGAACGCTCACTTGTTTGTGGCTGAGCAGCTGCAACAGAGACTGTATGGCCTGCAAAGCCTAAAATAGTTACTATACGGCACAAATAGTTTGGTGACCCTTGAAATAAAATGGACAGCTTTATTTTACTTTGTAAGTACAGGATTGCTGTACTTGATGGCTTAAAACTGGACTGCAGGTGAAGAAACGCTTGGGGCTATTCCAGAAGTCCAGGAAAGAATGCTGGCAGTGCAGATGCAGAGAATTAGAAACAAGAATTAGAGAATCCACCTCATTTCAGCTCCTTTCTCCACCTTGTCCACAAGAAATCACAAGAGACCTGTCAAATACCTTGAAGAGGTACAGATATACGCAGTTTACTATGTTTTCCACAACCAATCTAGAAGCACAAAGGAAGTCGACCTGATATGACCCATTCTTAATGTTAAAACCCACCTTGGGTCTTCACAATCACTGCTCCCACCCCTTTAAAGTCTCTTCTTCCAGGATCAATGTGAGCAAGACAGCATCAGTAACAGAATTCCCATCCGGAAAACTGCCCAGCCTCCTGGCACTCTCCTCTCTACACGACTCAACGACTCAACACTGACAGCAGTATGGGGTCTGTCTTCCAAGCCCTGCTAGTGCCATCCCAGACAGAGGGCTTGAGGACAGCAAATAGGGCACAGGCAATGGCTGCCCCTACCGAAGTCCACTCCACGCTGACCCTCACAGGTAAGAGATGACCACCTGCCTCCTCCAACATTCAGGAACACTTCAATCCCAGCCATCAGCAGCAGCCCCATCCTTCCTTCCTTATTTAGTTCGAGACACAAAAATGTCACTAAACTCCGTGTGGAGTAATAGCACCTCTCATGTGTCTCTCTGGATGCTGTCCTTTCTTTATTCTTTTGTACAAGTTCTTTTAAACTTTTTATTTGGGGAAATGACAATCATTCCCTAGCACAGAGAGACAGTAAATGAAATCACAGGTACTATCACTCAGCTTGAGTAATTATCAGCATTATGCCTAATTTGTTTTATCTGTATTCCAACTGTTTTTTCTCTCCTAGAGGATTTTAAATAACTACTAGTAGAGACGCAAGCACGCTCTTTGACAATCTGAGCCAAGCTCATCCCCACACCTCAGAAGCATGTTCCTAAGCGTGGTCAGCCCTTCTGAGTTCTCTCCCTTCAAAGGCTCGGCAACTGAATGAACTGTTCCTTGACTTCTCTGACTTTATGACATCTACCTTCTAAGAGTTGGGCATACACTGTGGATGCCCAATCACATGCCCCCGCTGCTTTGCACATAAACTTCACATTGAGATTTCTGCCTGAGAAGAGGCAGAACAATGTAAGAAGACTGTAGGCACCACTGATTTTACTCCCAAGGGGCAAATAGTCTTCTTTTCTTTTTTCTTTCTTTTTTTTTTTTTTTTTTTTGAGGAGAAAGAAATAAAAGGTGAGAGGGAAACAGACAAATATGATACAAAACTGGCAGTACCCAAAGCTCCCCAGCCAGACACTGTGTGGTTTTAATCCAGTCAAGGTGGCTGACCATAGGGAAAGAGATTTTCTTCTCCCAGGGAGGAAAGGGAGGGAAAGTCAACAAGAAGAAAAATAGGGGGAGAAACCAAGATGGCAGCATAGGCAAATACCTAAATTGCTGCCTTGCACAACAATTTCAAAACTACAACTAAAAGACAGAATGGACATCATCCAGAACCATAGGAAAGCTGGCTGAATGGAAATTCTACAAATAGAAGAGGAAAGCTCGCGGAGAATCAGAGGAGCTGCAAAGGGCTGAGGTACGGAGACACATGCGCAGAGGAAGGGCGCTGAGTGCCTGGCTGGTGTCCTCTGGTGGGAGAGGGAAGGAAGCCCCAACTTCACTGAACCGCAGTTCCAAATACACTAAACCTTAGTTCTGGGCGAAACCCTGTGGACCCAGGCTTATAAGGGAAAGTCTGGACTATCAGGTAGTAACAGTTCATTCAGTCGCTGAGCCTTGGAAGGAAGAGAGCTCAGAAGGGTTGACCACGCTCAGGGACATGCTTCTGAGGAAAAGGCACATGGAGACTCAGAGACTCGGGGAAGCTGCAGCAGGCAGGAGTTTGGAGGCTTGCGGTGTGCTAGCGAGTGCACACAGAGAAGATTGACTGTTGAGGTTGTTGCTAGTTCTCCCCAGCAGAAGGGAGTCAGAAGCTCCTAACTGCACTGAACCCCAGTTCCAAATGCACTGAACCCAAGTTCCAAGCAAGCCTGAGGGAATCTGGACTGTCAGGCAAAAACTCAGGGGAGCCAAAGAAGGCAGAGGTATGGAGCCATGAGTGCAAGGGTAGGGCTCATGAGAAGCCAAGACTGTCTTCTCAGCCCTGAGACTCTGCCCCATCCAAGCTGAGCACAGATGCTTTTGCAATTTTGCAAGTCTGGTCCTATAAGGCTGTCTCCAGCACAGATCTCCTGGCATAAACACAGCTGATACACATAGCCAATTGGCCTGGAGGTCAATTCCTCCCAGTGATACCAACAACAATCAAGACTTAACTCCAACAAGGCTGTATACACAGACCACAAAGGGGTGCACCAAGAGTGTCTACCTCAGATAAGTGGGGAGGCTGACCCACTAGGTCATATAGGAAACCTAGCAAACAAAGTTACCCTACCAACTCAGGGAAGCAGTGAAAATGTGGAGACAAAGTAACAAATCACAAATGAAAGTAATGGAAGAAAAAAAAAACGACTGATATAATTCAAAACCATGGTTATAAGGTTTTTCAAGAATTTCCCAGAAAAGGATAATAAATTTAGCAAGACCCTAGAGGATATGAAAAAGGACTAACTAGAAATTAAACATACACTGACTGAAATAAAAAATATTATACAGAGACCCAACAGCAGATCAGAGGAACAGAAGAACCAAGTCAAAGATTTAAAATACAAAGAAGCAAAAAACACTCAACAGGAAAAGAAAAAAGAAAAAAGAATCCAAAAAGTTGAAGATAGTGTAAAAAGTCTCTGGGACAAATTCAAGCGTACCAACATCAGGATTATGTGGGTGCCAGAAGAAGAGAGAGAGCAAGATACTGAAAACCTATTTGAAGAAACGATGACTGAAAACTTCTCCCACTTGGTGAAAGAAATAGATTTACAAATTCAGGAAGCACAGAGAACCCCATACAAAAGGAAATCAAAAGAGGACCACACCAAGACACATCATAATTAAAATCCAAGAGCAAAAGACAAAGAGAAAATATTAAAAGCAGCAACAGAAAAAGTTAATTTCCTACAAGGGAGCACCCATACAATTGTCAGCTGATTTCTCAACAGAAACTATGCAGGTCAGACAGAAGTGGCAGGAAATATTCAAAGTGATTAATAGCAAGAACCTCCAACCAAGATTACTCTACCCAGCAAAGCTATTATTCAGAATTGAATGTCAGATAAAGAGCTTCACAGATAAGAAAAAGCTAAAGGAGTTCATCGCCACCAAACCAGGATTATATGAAATGCTGAAAGGTATTCTTTAAGAAAAGGAAGGAAAAAGTAAAGATAAAAATGATGAACAACAAATACGTATCTATCAACAAGTAAACCCAAATATCAAGTGAATTAAAAATCTGAGGAACAGAATAAATTGGTGAATATAATAGAATCAGGGGCATAGGAAGGGAATGGACTGATAGTTCTCAGGGGAAAAGGGTATGAAGGGTGCAAGAAGAGACTGGACAAAAATTGTACACTATGGATTAGGACAGTGGTGTGGAGGTAAAGGCAAAGAGTGGGGTGGGAACCGGGTGGATGGGAGCTATGGGGGGGGGAAAGGAGAAACTATTGTAATAATCTGAACAATAAAGATTTATTAAATTAAAAACTAATAAATAAATAAATAAGAAGAAAAATAAAAAATGAAGATGACACACATGCTGGCCCAGATCAGAGTTACACTCCTGGTCTCTCCTCGGCCTCCCTCCTCTTCACCTATAACGTGGCTGTTCTCAAAGCTGGGCTCAGACACCAAGGCCCCGTAGATCGTACTGTGTTTTTGGGGAAAGTCACAACTTACTTGATAGCCCAGTGCTGTTGATGTTTTGGTATTCAGCATAAAAAAGTGCTTTTTCAAGCATCCCCAGGAATATGACAGCTGCAATCCAGAACTGAATTCTTAATATATCTTTCCAATAACAAGCAGACCATATCAGCCAGAGCAAGCCATATAAAATGTAGACAATGCACATCACCATGTAAAACTGTAGGGAGAGAAGCAACTGTAATCACCTAAGCCTTACTGTCATTTGAAAATCAGTATTTCTCATTCAACTATCATCCTTTATTTTCCAGTCACTCTGGACAGAGAGGGTATGTCAGGGCACTATCTACTAAGGCAGTGTTTCCTAAACTTTTGACATATGTGTACCCCTTCTATAATTTTTGTAACGCTGAGTACCCCTCGTACTCATGAGAATGTAGAATTAGGCGCAGCTAAGCACGGTGCAGTGCATATCCCCACCAAACTCTGGTGCAATGCGTACCCCCACCAAACTCTTCCCATACCCCTAGGGGTACGTGTACCACACTTTGGGAAACACTGTACTAAGGGATTACCATCACTGAAATCTTAGAATTTTTAAGTTTCCAATTAGGATACAATTTTTTTTTTTAAATGGTGAAACATACTCACAATCATGAGAGGCCAATCTGATGCAGAGAGATATCCTTTCGGCCCCATCATAGAAAGAGAAACTGGTGAAAGTAAGGGTGGGGATAAAGAAAGTAAACAGTTAAATTAACAGTTTTCTCTTAAGTTTTAAATGTAAGCTCATTCCCCAGGCAACTCCAAAAATACAAAGCAAGCTGACAGATGCTGAATCTTTACCTAGCACACACAGACTGGACAGTTGCTGGTTATATAAGCTGACTGTATGAAGAAACCTTCACTAGTCACACTCGGTTGTAAAACCTGGGCCAAATCTCACCTCATGCAGAGAGCAGAGTTGCACTGGCTATGGTCTGGCCCCTGCTGAGTAACCAACCTCCTGAGGACTCTGTCTCCCTTTATTACCTGGGATGAACGACTGACCTCAAGCACCTAGTCTGGGTTGGCGTCTAAGACAGTGAGAATAAACACAATGTCCAGAACCATACAGAACTCACTGGACTTGGCAACTGCTGCAGTTTCTAACTAGTAGGGCCTGAACCCTGCCTCTAGCACCTGGAAGGATCGGGTCCAGTGAGGGAGCAGAATGGCATCAAGATCTTTGCTCGCTCTATGTGGCATGGCCGGGCCCACATAGCACCTCTGGAAGGAGGCCCCATTTCACATTCTTCCCGATCAGCCCCTGCACTGGCTTCCCCACGGGTCATTAGCTTCCCCCACGAGACACCAGCCTTGTGCTTCTCTGCAGTGATGCCTTTTCACCCCACTGCTTTCTGCCCATCCCCTGCACTGGACGCCTCTCAGAGACAGAGCCTGGCTTCCGCTCTGTGTCCCCAGTGGATGAGGCAGAGCAGAATGCAAATCCTCAGGACCTTGACAGGCTGTTGGCTACTGTCAGCCCAGCAGGTGCCGCTCTGGAAAATGACAGCAAAAGCAATTCCAGGGCGTGTAAAGGCCTCCATTCCCTTGAAAACTGCTTATTGTGAGGATGCTCTTTCTCTGGGCACGGAGAACTACGGCTTAATGAGCCACAGAAGGGCTAGCTTGTGGGGGAGGGGGCTCACAGACCCCAGAAGCCACAGTTGCCAGATATGCTACTTCTACTCCTAAGCTATAAACTAATGTTTTTAAAAAACTTTTCAAAGAACAATAATTTTCAAACCCTGATGATGGCCATTTTCAACAAGCAGAATATAATCTACTTCAAATACCATTAAGATATTGCCTGCCCGTTTGTTTTTTTTGTGTTTTGTGGTTTTTTATTTTTTTCATCTGTAATAATGGTTTTCTATCACACCATTAAGTTTAAAATTATTTAACTTAATTTAAAATTTCCAATTCAATAAGATAAGTATAAAGTTTTAAGTCTCACAAATAAACAGATTATTCATTTTTGAGATGAACAGAAATTCATTTTTCAATGTGTTTTAACAGAGAATGTAGATTTGGATCAATGACAAAAAAACAGACAGCAATTAGCTAATAAACATGCATACAGTTTAACTGTACCATTCAAATTCCATTTTGCATTGATTTTTTCCGTTTTAATAGAAACAATAAGGGTGTGAAACCCATCTTTATGTGTTCTTGCAACAACATCCTGAAACAGGAAGAAAAAAAAAATCCTTTGTTATTTTTTAAATTGAGCTAAATAACTGTTTGCCACATTTTAAAACAACTTTTAATAAGCGAGTTGGGTCATTTTTAAAAAACATAAACAGGTAACACACAGAAAAGAAATAGTGGGCAGTGAAAGGATCCCCCCACCCCGTGTTTTAAAAATTTATTTTAGAGAAAGGAAGAGAGAGAGAAAGAGAGAGAGAGAGAGAGAGAGAGAGATCGATCAATTGGTTGCCTCCAAGCATGGGCCCCAACCAGGGATCAGACCCGCCATCTTTCGGTGTACGGGAGGGTGCTCCAGCCAGCTGAGCCGCACTGGCCAGAGCAATCCCCCGTTTTCTACCACATCCTTCCAAACCCAAAGGGATGGAAGAGGAAAAAAGAAGTCCTTTTCACTCCTTAAGGTTTTCTACTTTTTATATTTCTACAGATTTCCCTTAATGTTACCACTCTGTGTTATCTACTATCACCATCCAAATAGTTTCTCTCCCCTTACTTTATCCAAATGTCATCAAGTATTCAGTTTTTCAATGTGTTTTTTAATTGAACTGTGGGAGGAAGAAGTCAGATAACATTGTGAGAAATGACTCAGATTCCGCATACAGGCTAAATTATTTAAATCCTTCAAGGTACTAAGTTACTAGCAGTCCCACTGGGGACTATACCTGCTGCTGTAATGTCTATGACCCCTTCAAGGCCCCACATAACTGGACCGAACTTCTCACACTCCTCCTTGCTGAATATTTCCTGTCCTTCCATTCATTTCTTCCTCCTCCACCTGTGGCAGTTAGTGCAGAGTGTGTGTCCCTCCCGCTGCCGCGTGAAAACCTTTCCACTATCCGGCTACTTTTTAAGATGGTGCAAGAAAACCAGAAACACGAACAACCAGTAAGCAAGCATTAAGCTCTCCTAACTCTGTTCAGTTCCTATATACAACTCCTTCTAACCCTCTCAGCCTCTTGGTCTTCTGACTTTTAGCAATTCCCCAAAATACCAAATTTTCTCTCCCTTCCATGCTACACTCATGGTTTCTACCTATTTCTTTGCATCCTTAATGATGATACATACCAGTCCTTTAATATGCTGTCTTGGGCATTTGAAAACAAATTTTATTTTTCAAAGAAAAAGAAAGGCTACATAGAAGTTAAGTTTAAATAATAACTTTAAAGAGATTTTTAACACAAAAACAAGTCTGTATAAAATTTATATAGACATATGCAAGGAAATATGTTGTTTTAAATAAAGGTTCTTTTTTCTTTCCCAACTCTAATAACCCCATTTTATATCACTCACCAAGTGCTCTACCCATCAGCAGATTCTTTCAGTCTTACTATATAGTTTATGTATATAATTTGATTTAAAGACAAATAAGATGACCTACCATTTGTTCTTCCTGGTTTGAAACATTTCCAATATTTGAAATTAGTTCTTTATTCTGGAAAGAAGAATAAATAACTTCATTTTATATTGGTGCATTTTTATGGGGATAATTTTAACAATTAAGAAAAAAATGTGTTATAAAAAAGTAAAAATTTAAAAGCTGAATATCAAAAAACAAATTTCACAGTAGCCCATAAATGAGTGACAAAGTCCTGCTTTGGAAAAATAACTCCCTTTATAAGGACAGTGGCTATGGTAGGGGGACAGTACTAGGAACTTAAAAGGGAGCTCCTGGTGCTAAAATATTCATCAAGCCATATACTTCTGATAAGCACAAGTTATTATATGTTTATTACACTTCATAACATTTTAAAATAATCCCATTAAAATGTTTACTCAGACATATTTACATTTCATAATTCATAGAGCAAAAAATAAGTTAAAATGACCCACAACCTCAACGTCACCCAGAGATGACTGAGGGTGACATTTTAGAATCTGACCTTCCACCCAGGGAGGGAACAAGTGCATAGAGAAGGACAGAGTGTTGTGTGTTAAGTGCTGACAGACTGTGGTAAGAGGAGCAGACCACTGGATTGAACAACGTGGTCACTGGTAACCTTGACAGCTGGGGTTCTGGTGGACCAATGCAGTGGAGAGAAGAGAGATAAACTGACAGCACATCATGAAATGACGCTGTTGTAAAGGGGAACAAAGAAACAGAAAATGGGGCCAACATCTTACTATGTGCTACCACATTCACAAAGAGCTAAGCCTAAAATTTAACAAATTAAGCACCTTAATAAAAATTCTGGTAAAACAGAGTTTAGGCTGATACTTGTATGCACCGGGAGTAAAATAAATTCTCTGTTAACATAGCAAGATAAGATACTCACATATAATGAGGGAAACACCTGTAAGTCACTGTTGCAATCTATGTTTTCATTTTTTGTTGTCCAACATTCGCTGTTCTTCAAATAATTAACACAATAGTCTCTGCCAGCACTTTCAGACTTTGATAACTGCTCCTATCCAAGGTAAAATTTTGTTATTTATTTCCATACTTATTAACCAAGAGTATAATTTAATATTTAAATAATATTAAAATATATTCAGTTTGGAGCACTTGAAAATATGCAGAACAAAATACAGAAAAAAGTTTGAATATAATTTTAAGTAAAACTGACGGATCATAATATCTTAGCCATTCAATTGTGCTTGCCCAGAGACAGTAATACAGAATATAACCATAATCTTATAGTATGAAAGTGATTAAGGTGTTTTGAAAAACATAATACTTGTCCCTGGGGCTACTTCCATTTTATCCCAAGTATTAAAAATCTCAGAGAGGGAAAGCAGCATTTTACCAGGAGGAAAGACAAACCAGACACTTAGCAACGCAAAGCAAAGGTGCAAGCCTGACTGAGTGCAGGGACACTCATTTACTCATTAGGACCTAGGGTTCTTCCCTCCCAGATACAGGAATAAAACCTAATGGCAGCTACCAGTCATCAAGAAAAGGGTATGAGACAATGTGAGCAAAATAACAGGTAAGATCGGAGCAAAGAGAGTTCATTCTCACGCAAGAATGCTAATAAATGTGGGAGAACAAATGGATCAGAAAATCACCATGTAACCAACATCAGAGTAATAATCGATTTCTTGGGCAAGAATCAAGGATGTGAAAATCAGGATTGATGAAGAAAGAGGATACATCCTATATAATAAAAGCTTCATATGCAAATAAACCAAAAGGCAAATGACCCAGTTGCTATGATGTGCACTGACCACCAGGGGGCAGACGCTCAATGCAGGAGCTGTCCCCTAGCAGTCAGTGTGCTCCCACAGGGGTAGTGCTGCTCAGCCAGAAGCCAGGCTTATGGCTGTTGAGTGCAGCGGCAGTGGTGGGAGCCTCCGCTGTAGGTAGGTGGTAAGGAGTGAAGGGTCCTGGACTGCAAGAGCCCCATACTTTGAGAGGGATGTCTGACTGCTGGCTTAGGCCCAATCCCTGGGGGAATTGGTCTAAGCTGGCAGGTGAACATTCTCCCCAAGGGGTCCTGGACTGCAAAGGGGCGCAGGCTGGGCTGAAGGAACTCCCCCCCCCCCCGCCCCAGTGCATAAATCTGGTGCACCAAACCTCTAGTATTTATATAAATAAACATATTATAAAAATAAAAATATTTTTTCACAAATTACTGTTAATAACAAAAGGAAAAGTAGTAACTTCACAGTGGTGAAACCTGGCAGAAACTCCCTGATTTAAAAAAAAAAAAAAAATGGGACAAACCAGGATTTTCTGGTATGCCTGCCCCAAAAATAAGGCAAATCTAATCATGAGAAAACATCAGTTGTACTCAAATTGAGGGACATTTGGTGAAAATAAATGGCTTGTACACTTCAAATATATCGATGTTGTGTCATGAAAGACTGAAAAAAACAACAATAACCCACAGCCACAGAAATGCAATGTGATCCTAGATTGGCTCCTGTACCAGAAACAAACAAAGCCCGCTAAAAAGGATGTTACTGGGACACTCTCTCTAAAAATCAATGGAAAAAAATATGCTTGGTGAAGATTAATAGAAGAACCCACAAAAACAAAAAACACTAGGAGCTAACAGAACATAAATCTGTGAAGAAATCATGGGGGGCATCATCAAAAGAAATCCCTGGGTGAGGGCGCAGGGGCTCAGGCTGCAGGGCCAGGGCAGGACAAATCCCGCCTGGCCTCTCTTCCTCTCTCACAGCTCCACCACCCGAGTCTCCCCCACCTTTTCCTGACGGTTCCTTTCCCTCCTCACTTCTTTCTGAGATCTGCTCAAATTAAATCTACCTGTAACTTACATAAGTTCTAGGTGCCCTATTACTAATTTTTTAATGCAGTGAAATTTTTACATTACTTTTTTAAGTAAAATTTTTGTTTATATATGACCCTACATGTCTGATTTAAAGTTTACTAACATTTTCATAAGATACAAGGAATGAAAAGATCTGTCTTCTCAGAAAGCATATGCTTTGATAGAATTAAAGCATGTATTACCTAAGGCCCAAAATTAATCTGTGGCATTTCTAAGAATATAATCTATCTTTCTAGCCTCTTCACCTGATGAGCTAATATTTATGCTCATAATTTTCCTTCACAGCTTTATATCCATAAAAAAACTTGGGTTTATGAGTTATCTCATAATACCTATTAAAATGTCTATTATAAAAAAAGACAAGACACAAGTGTTGGCAAGGATGTGGAGAACAGGAAACTCTCATACACTGTTGGTGGGATTTGAAACTGGTGCAGCCACTATGGAAAACAGTATGGAGGTTCCTCAAAAAATTAAGGATAGAGCTATAATATGACCCAGCAATTTCTCTTCTGGATAATTTGACAAAAATATGGAAACACTGATTCACAAAGATATATGCACCCTTGTGTTCATCGCACCATCATTCACAATAGCCAAGATATGGAAACAACCTAGTGTCCTTCAATGAATGATTTGATTATGTATATACAATGAAATACCACTCAGCATAAAAAAGAGTGAAATAGCCGAAACCGGTTTGGCTCAGTGGATAGAGCGTCGGTCTGCGGACTGAAAGGTCACAGGTTTGATTCCGGTCAAGGGCATGTACATTGGTTGTGGGCACATCCCCAGTAGGGGGTTGGAGAAGGCAGCTGGTCGATGTTTCTCTCTCATCGATGTTTCTAGCTCTCTAACCCTCTCCCTTCCTCTCTGAAAAAATCAATAAAATATATAAAAAAAAAAAAAAGAGTGAAATATTGCCATTTGTGACAACATGGATGGATCTTGACAGTATTATGCTAAGTGAAATAAAGATAGACAAAAAAATATATGTTTTCAATCATATGTGGGATAAAACCCAAAAAGTAACAAACTAACAAAATAATAAAAAAAACTCACAGACACACACAGTATGGTAGTTACCAGAGGGGAGAAAGGATGAGAGGAGCAAATTGGGCAAAGGGTAAGGTGACCAGACATCCTGCTTTTGGCGGGACAGTCCCGATTTTGAACAATTTGTTTGAAAAAAGTCCTGATTTTTGGAAAGAATGCATGACAAGTTAGGGGATGTTGGGAGAACGGGAAGGGACTATATTTTGGTGGTCATGTGGCTATTTGGCCAGGATATGAGTTTTATATTATTTTTGTTAATTTTATAATGTTAAACTTTAATAATAATAAATAATTGTTGAGAACTGATTATCGAGAACTGCTTATCAAAGTTCGCAACAACGAAAACGTTTTGTAACTGTCTCTGATGATGCACATCGTACTGTGTGCTAGTAAGCTAGTTAAACAAGTGATGCCATTACAAATCAGCTATTCAGATAATTTAGGTAATTTATTTATTTCATAAATACATAAATTTTCTTGAATTTAGCAGACAGTACTCATATTATTTATATTTTATAGTGGCAGCAAAAAGTCTAGTGCCAGCCTTGAAAGCGACACTTACGAGTTATGTTACAATTAAGTGTTAAAACTTTGAAAGCCATTTGATGTGTGAAATATAATTTAACAAATTCTTTTTTTTAAAATATATTTTATTGATTTTTTACAGAGAGGAAGGGAGAGAGATAGAGAGCTAGAAACATCAATGAGAAACATCGACCAGCTGCCTCTTGCACACTCCCTACTGGGGATGTGCCCGCAACCCAGGTACATGCCCTTGACCGGAATCGAACCTGGGACCATAGACCGACGCTCCACCACTGAGCCAAACCGGTTTCGGCAATTTAATAAATTCTTGTGAAAAATTTCATGACCTTTTAAACAACGACAGCAATCTACTAAAAAAATTCACTCAAATGAGAAATATGCCAAAGAATAAAATAATACTATACATAATTTTTTATTTATTATATTTGTAAATTGTACTTATGTTGAAATTTAAAAAATATGTTACAATACTATTTTTGCGTTCTATGAAGATTTTTGTTGCTTCACATAGACCAAATTTTTAATCAAGACCTCCCTCCCGTCTCCTCCCCCCCCCCCCCCACCCCCAGTCAATGGTGTCCTGCTTTACCAATGTTAAAATCTGGTCACCTTAGCAAAGGGGGTTAAATATAAGGTAATGGAAGGAGAACAGACTTTGGTGGTAAACATGTAATAGAGCACACAGATCTAATTATAATGTTGCATACCTAAAAGGTATATAATGTTATTAATATTACTTTAATAAATATAATTTTTTAAATTGTGTTTTACTTACATCCAGATTATCATATTCATTTTGACAAGTGTAATGCTTCAAATACCACTCTATGGTAAACTTCACAGGCTCTTGACAATAGAATGATTTAACTGTTGAAGAAAACAAAGTCTCATTTTTCAATAATAATATACATACTCCAATGTAAACTTAAGGTTTTAATAATATAATTTAAAATGAGCTACTTAAATGAAACAACAAGTAAAACATTACTAAATTTCTCCAAAAATCACTGCAAAATGAAACAGTAAATTCATTAAATTATAACTGTTAGTCCAAAGTTGCTATACTACTATTCATCTATATGCTAAGTCCAGTGTTAAAATCAACCAAGTGGCCAGATATGTTGACACTTACTTCACTCTAAGTGTCCTCTTCACTGAGTCATCAAAAAAATACGGAGCAAGCAACCCTGGTGTGTCAAGAAGGGACATAATGGGAAATCTAGAACAGTTCCTCTCCCTTACACAGAGGATTGGGGAAACAGCAGATTAACAATTAAACAAGTCCTAGGAGAGCATGAAGAATGGGGTGCTGGCAGGCTTGCTGGAGGAGAAGGCCTGTAATGTGAAGGGGTAGCTAGAGTTAGCCAGGTGAGAAGGAGGATGGAAGAGTTGCATGCCAATGCTCAGGAAAAGTGAGTGAATGGCATACAGAGGCCCATCTAAAAACAGTGTGCTATGCTTAGAGTACAGATTGGGGAAACTGGAGAAAATCTGTAAGTGTTCTTATGCTCTGCTAGGGAGTTTTCCTTTATTTTTAAGCTAGTGGCCTGGTGCACAAATTTATGCACATTGAAAGAAAATTAATTAAAAGAAGCATTTTAATATTATTATTTGCACTCTATAATAGAAGTGTCAGAGGTGAGAGAAAATTAAAATGTACATGAAAATAACATATACATTAAGAAATAAATTATAACATGATAATAACAACATATATGATATGAATACAAAAGTATGACATAAAAACAAAAAGATTATATAAAAACAACAAAAACAATATAAAAACATTGATTAAAAACAATGACTGACAAATTGATTACACTTATTCTAATATCTCCCTGAAAGTGCTTGACTCATTTCCCTGTGATGAAGTATTTACAACTTTAACTTTAATGTCACATGTTCTTCGAACTTGAGAGAAAGCAACATATAGCTGACCATGTCCAAAAACGGGTTCAGGTAGGAATATTCTTACTCTGTCTAGAGTTTGTCCTTGTGATTTATTAATAGTCATCACAAATGCTGGCATCACGGGAAACTGTCTTTAAATTAATTTAAATGGGAGGCCAGTATCAGATAGGGAGGAATCAATTCTTGGAATCAGAACAAATCTCTCCTTCAGCAGATCCTGCTAATACTTAAGCTCAATTATGTCACAATCTTGTGACAATATATCTAGTAGCATTACAAAGACCCCCTTTACTATTAAGATTTCTCAGTAGCATGATGATTGCGCCTACTTTCAATTGTAATTTATGATACAGCATTCCTGAAGGAGTAATACTAGTAAGAATTGATGGGAAAACTTTCCTTTTCAGCACCATTCATTGAATCATCACTCAAATAGGTGTGACAATCTCCACCAAGTATATCCAAAATTTCTTCAGTTAATTTATGAACGTGCTCATTTTTAGGACAAAGAATCACACATTTAGATGTATCCTATATAATAAAAGGCTAATATGCTAATTGCCAAATGGTGGAATGACCAGTCACTTGACGTGCACTGACCACTGGGACAGACACTCAAGGCAGGAAATGCCCCCTGGTGGTCAGTGCACCAGACGCCGGGCTCACAGCTGGCAAGCACAGCATGTTGTCAGTTGTACATTCCCTGAGGGCTCCCGAACTGCAAGAGGGCACAGGCCAGGCTGAGGAACCCTCCACGAGTGCATGAATTTTGTGCACTGAGCCTCTAGTTTCTAAAATAATTTATAGACTAGAGGTCTGGTGCACAAAATTTGTGCATTTGGGGACAGGCGGTCCCTCAGCCCTGCCTACATCCTCTTACAGTCTGGGAGCCCTTGGGGGAGCAGGCCTAAGCTGGCAGTCGGACATCCTTAGCACTGCCATGGAGGCGGGAGAGGCTCCCGCCACCAGTGCTGCACTCGCCTGGCTCAGGGCTTCTGGCTGAGCCACACTCCTGCTCTGAGAGCACACTGACCACCAGGGAGCAGCTCCTGCATTGAGCATCTGCACCCCCTGGTTAGTGCATCCCATAGCAACCAGTTGTCCCACCATTCGGTCAATTTGCATATTAGCCTTTTAGTATACAGGATATACTATTTCCAAAGGTAGCTTTCTTCTAATTTCAGAGATATGTTGTTCCAGCAGCTGATCTTCAGATATATTCTGTCAATGATGCCGGCTTCTTTCAGCTTCAGAGATATGTTGTGGCAATAGTTGGTCTTCATACATATTCTATCAACCATTTCAGCTTCAGAATGTCAACAAAAATGTGACGTCATTATCTGGTGCCCACAGCCACTGGGTCACATTGTGCACCCTGGGGTCTCAGCAGCATTGGCTGCTATTTGGTGGAGTGTCACTCTGGGGTGGTGGCAGGGCCTGTGTCCGGCCTAGGGGAAGCCGAGTGCTGCTTTATGGGTGCCAGGTCCGTAGTGGCCTGTCACTAGGGAGAGGAAGCTGGCTGTTGCCACATAATGTCATTACCGTTGTGAGCTTCGTGAAGGTGCCCATTTCCGAGCTGGGCTGTGGGCTGCATTTTGCACCATTGGGTCTCGGCAGTGTTGGCCGTGATTTGGTGGGCTGTCCCTTTGGAGTGGTGGTGGGGCCTGTGTCCCACTTGGGGGATGCTGAGTGTTGCTTTGTGGTTGCCAGGTCTGCGGTGTCATTTCTCTATGCATGGCATGGCAACTTCTGTGTCATGGCAATCCCTGGTGGTCAGTGCACATCATAGCAACTGGTTAGACAGTTGGACACTTAGCATATTAACTTTTTATGTATATAGATGTTTCCAGAAGGAGGGTAACAATATCACACAGACTGAAAAGAATTAAGTCTAGAATAAGACAAAGCTTTTTTTGTCACAACATGGCAGCATATCACCAGAGAGGGCAAAGAAGCCACAGTGTCTTTTATGACCTAGCATCATAAGTGACATGCCATTACTTCTGCCATATTCTACTGGTCATATCAACAATGACATAATGAAGGGATTATACAGGTCATGAGTACCAGGAGGCAGGTACCATTGTGAACTTCGTGAAGGAAACCAAAGGAAATCGAAACTGATGTCAGAGGCTGAGGTTGGTAGGATTTCTGGGGCAGAGCACCCGAGAGTTGGGAGTGACTCAGAGAAGGAGTGAAAGAACTCTGCACAAATATCCCCTCAAGGCTCTGGCTGCATAGCAGCTTGCCCGTGCACAATCCCACAATTCTGAGTTCATATAGGGCTTGCACTGTTTGAGTTTCCATGAGCCAGAGTCCACAGGTCTCATTCAATACATCAAGCACCAGGGAGAGACACAGAAGGGTCACACCTGAGAAGTGGTGCTAAGTAAGCCCTGGAGTAAAGGCTACTCCAGACCAATCCTAAAAGAATTAAAAATAAAACTGGAAAGGATAGAACTGACCCAAAAGAAACTTAACTGTCTGCCAGAACAAAGTTTTTAAAGAAATACATCATAGCACTCAAGAATGCAAAATTCACAATATTCAGCATCCAAACAAAACCACTAGATATAAAAAATAGGACAATTCGACTCATACCCATGGTATGAATCAGTCAATATGACAAAGATGATGTAAATGACAGAATTAGCAGATAAAAATGTAAAAACAGCTACTGTAAAAATGTTCCACATGCTCAAATATGTAAAGAAAACCATGAAAAAACTGATAAGAGAAATAAGGTATTTTTAAAAAGAACCAAACTTGTAGAGATTGAAGAATACAATATCCAAAATAAAAAGTTCATTGTATGAGATTAACGGCAAATTAGATACTGCAGAAGAAGAATATCACTGAAATTGAAGACAAAGCAACAGAAATATCCAAAATGAAGCGTAGAAAGAAAAAAGCTTTTAAGAGGCCTCCGTGGCCTGTGAGATAGTATCAGCAGCCTAACTTTTGTAAATGGGACCAGGCAGGGAGCACAGAAGTGGGGATAGAGCTTCTAAGTCCATGATCCAAGGTCCATGTTTCACAGTGTGCATATCCAGTTGTTCCAGCATCATTTGTTGAAAAGACTATCCTTTCTCTAATGAATTATCTTTACAACTTTGTTGAAAATCCATGGACTTTATGCATGTGGGTTTACTTCTGGGACTCTAGTCTGATTCCTTGTTCTACATGTCTATCCTTATGCCAGTTCCACACTGTTATGATCACTGTAGCTTTATGTAAGTTTTGAAATAAAATAGTAAAATCCTTTCAACTTTGCTCTTTTTCAAAATTGTTTTAGGGCCTATTCTAGGCCCTTTGTATGATATTTACCTATAAATTTTAGAAACAGCTAGTCGATTTCTACATAAAAGTCAACTTTGACTTTGATTAGAATTAAATTTATAGATCAATCTGGAAAGAACTGACAGTATGCTAGCTATAGATTTTTCATAAATGCCCTTCATTAGATTGAGGAAGTTTTTCTAATTTTCTGAGAGTTTTTATCATGAATGGGTATTGATTTTTTTCTAATGCTCTTCTGAATATACTGAAATGATTATATAGTGTATTTCTTTCATTCTGTTAATATGGTGATTTACACTGAGAGATTTTCAACAGTGACTTCATGACTACATCTTAAATGAAGCACCTACAGGAAGTCAGACATCTGATCCACCAAACTGCATGGCCACATAGTAAAGATACCAATTCTTAGCTTTCAGGCACTAAAATCTGGCTCTGTGAGAACACAGACTCAGTCTCATCTCACGCCTTCACCACACCACCAATGTAAATGAAGGAACTAGAACAGCTTTCACCAACCCGTGGTCCGTGGACCACTGATGGTCAGTGAGGTCCGAAAGGTTGGCAACCGCTAAACAGGAATGTTCAATAACTCACTTAAAACGAATAGTAACTGAAAACTAATTATCTCCCTTCACCATGCCTTCCTGGATGCCCAATGGTGATGAGAAAGCTGCCTGACAAGCATGGCACCAGAACAGGAGGCTCAGGTGGATGCTACATCCACACCTGCCAGCCACATGCCACAGCTACAGTCAGAGTTCACTAAGACCTCTCTCCATTGATAACATTGGACACTGCCAGGTTTTTTGCCTGACTAAACCCTCATTTTCTTATGCTTTTGCTCCTAGCTCCTTCTGCTCCTCTGCTGTCTACTCTTAGGCTGATCTCTGACATTACATATTGACTTTTTTATAAATAAAATTTTGTGTTTCACTGGTCCATATAATCCCCCCCCACCCCCACGTAATTTCTTCTTTGTCTAGACATTAAGACATGAATTCATTAAAGCAATCAGATGCCAAAATTTTTTCCTCACCCACCTTGCACTTCAATTTCCTCTTACAAACTCTTATCACCACTGATGATCTGATATCACCAGGTTGCTTTGAACCACCTCTGCTTTATAGCTGAAGGCTAGCCCAGTTAGTTCCCTTAACAAAGACCCACATATGGCAGACTCACCTAACAAATGATCAGAGCATGGGGTAACAGAGAAAAGGGTCATGGCTTTGAATCCTCAGGAAGTCAATCTGTGTTACCAAAAAAAAAAAAAAAAAAAAAAAAAAAAGTACTCCCAATCTCAAAACTTTAACCCTGGCAAAAAAGATTAACCCAGTTAAGTTACTGGAAATACCAAGAGGAGTTGGATCACAGTAAATATGATCCAATGTAAACCCATTAAAGATATTGAAAACCTCAAGATCCACAATTTGGTCATCCTTGCACAGCAGTATTTACATAGACAACACAGTCCCAACAAATATTTTCACTTTCATAAGCCTTAAAATATTAGTTAAAATGTTAGTCTCTTAAAATTTTTATTTATACTATGATCATATGTATATTTAGAAAATGTTGATGGTCATAATAGTTTTATCACAATCATGACATTTCATATATTCATAAAAGAAATTTACCTAGTTTTAAAAGCTAAGATCTAGAGTCAAATTTTACAGAAGTCAAATACCTTTGCTAAAGCCTACTTTACTAGACTTTAATTATAGTTTTTAAAGAATAATCATATTACATTTTCTGAAACAGATAAAACCATTCTTGAAAATAAGCAAGACTTGACAGAAACAAAAGGAATTCTTAATATGTTAGAACCACTGAAAAACAAAAACATTTTCCTGTTTTATAAAATACTAGAGGCCTGGTGCACAAAATTTGTGCATGGGGGGAGGGGATCCCTCAGTCATGCCTGCACCCTCTTCAATCCAGGACCCCTCAGGGGATGTCCCTGTGGGATTGGGCCTAAACCAGCAGTCAAGCATTCCTCTTGCAATCTGCACCGCTGGCTCCTAACTGCTCACCTGCCTGCCTGCCTAATCACCCCTAACTGCCTCTGCCTGCCAGCCCGATAACCCCCTATCTGCTCCCCTGTCAGCCTGATCAACCCTTAATTGCTCCCCTGCTGGCCTGATCGCCTCCTGACTGCTCCCCTGCTGGCAGTTCACCCCTAACTGCTCTCCTGCTGGCCTGATCACCCCTAACTACCTCTGCCCCGACCCCTGCCGCTTTGTCCAGAAGACATCCAGTCTAATTAGCATATTGCCCTTTTATTATTATAGATAATACCATGTTACATTAGCTTACATTTAATTAATGTATTAGTTTATAATATATTGTTACTTGTTTATGATATGTTGTTACGGTAGTATTACCTTAGTTTATAAGACTTACCAGAAAACTTGATGTCAGTGGAATTAAACATAATTTTTCTAAATATCAAAGGTCCTGATTTCTAAAATGAAAAACAATACAGAAAAACCATGTTAAATTACTCTCTACTATTTAAGAATATAGCTTTACCCTGTAAAACATATAGCTCTAATCCTTGCCGTCCTCCCTTTGAGCAGAGTGATTACTTTTTAAAACCATATTCTAATCCTATCATTCATTTCCTTAAATCCTTTCCTATGTATCTCCTCCCTGTAGTTGATATGAGGATCCAAACTGTCCCTGCCACCAGCATGCCCAGCCAGGGGCCAGCAATACCTCGGAGGTGAGGGCTGCTGCCCAGACACAGGACCTGCCTGCACACCTGCGGCTGGTACTATGTGAACGTGCTGCTGATAAAACAACCAGCCCTCTCTCTACATTGTGATGGTTCACCACTGCGCTTACAGCAGACCAGTTCTCACGGCAGCTCACAGGACTGTCCATCATCAGGGCCACCCACTTCCTCTAGAACCTTCCTTTCAGCTCCGCCACAGCATGGCACTCCTTGCCCTCATGATACCCCTTCCACAGAAAACTTACTTAGAAGCCTTTATCCCTGTTACTTTGTCTTCACCTCACGATTCCTTCTTAATCTTTTCAAAAGTCCCTTCTTGGGAAGTTTATCGCCATATCCCAAAGCAGGCCAGACCCTCCCTTATGTGGTCGCTGGGACTCATTCTTCTTCACAGCCTTTCCCACAATTAGAACAAAATAATGTATTAATTAGTTATTATATGTTTGCCCTGAACCAAGAATAAAAATGCTGGGTGAAGGGATTATGTTAACAAGTAGTTAGGATTGAAAGGAAAGCAGACAGGGCAGGCAGCTCTTCCACCCTCTCCAACATAGTGTCCACAACAATCACTATAAATGATAGAACCCCCAGGCCGGATCAACAATAAAACCCACAGCCCAGATCTCTCCCCTGAGCGCCAGATCCACATACCCAACTGCCTAAAGGTCATGTCTCCTGGGATATCCAGCCCACATTCCACACTAACATTCCCTAAATCAGACACACTCCTCTCTGCTCCTCTCAATTCTTCCTGCCTGGCCACCTTGGCTGCAGGTGATGCCATCCAGTCACCCAAGCCATGACTCCTTCCAGTCACCTCACCTCCACCACCTACCCCCAAAACATGCCTATTTTATCTCATAAACATTCCCCACACTTAGCTCTTACTCTCCATTCCTCCTACCATTGCCCTAATTCAGGCCTTTGACATTTTCTGCCCACATTTCTGCAATAACTTAACTGGTACTCTGCCTCCAGATCTGAGCCTAGAATTCATCCTTAGATGCCAGCCACAGTGATTAGCATTTATGTCTAAAATCCTTCAAAGGCTCACCCTTATTTACACCCAAAAGTTACTACTAGTGGCCTGGGGGGCATAATCCAACTTATAAATGGAGTTCGTTTAGCCCACAAAGTTGTAAATCAAATGACATAACAAAAATATGGATTCTGACTTTTAAAAAAGCAGACCTGGCAATTCTGTGCCTAGACTATCCCCCAGCAGAGCGAATGGCGACTACCCTCTTCACAAAGGGCATGTAACCTATAGTCCACTGCAGCCTCCACCACCTGTTCCACTTCTCTCCCTGATATGCTTGTTCCAGACCCCACCGGTGCTAAGTTTAGATTCCATGCATCCAATGCACCCTCCACCGTCCCCTCCAGTCCAGAATCCAGCTCACTTCACTCACTGATACGACTTGTCCCAGACCCCACAGGTCCCGAGGGTAGACCCTGACATTAGGCTCAAGGCCAAGTTCGGACACTGAAGGCTTATGGTGGCCCGAGTCCTCTGTAACACTCATGGCAAAACGCCACTCAGCAGAAACACCACGAATTTCCTTCTCTGCTGCTGCTCTACTCCCTCCTTCTTCACCAAGGTAACACCTTTTAAGACCAGCGAGCCACTGACTCCAGAGAGCAGAGTTGGAGGACTCCTCAGAGCTCCAGTAATATCCTAAGAATGCTGCCATATAGGCAACTGCTGTCCTTACTGCGTAAGCTTCTTGAGAGAAGGGGCTGTAGTCTGAAATTCACCTTTGCAACAGCAATGGCCAGTGCCGTGCGTGGCACACAGTAGGTGCTCTAAACTATTTGCTAACTCTACAATCAAAACAACCGTCTCTTGATGGATTTGTAGCACAAATGAAAGCCCACTCTCCTGTCCTGAAGGACAAGTCCTGACAACTTAAAATGGGGGGGGGGGGGGGGGGGAGATAGGGAGAATCAGCCCATTCTTTGCAAAGAAGGACTTTCTGGACGTCCCCTGACCTATGTTACCGAGGACTGCACATTATGCGGGACCCAAGGAAAAGCCTTTGAAGTCTCCACATCCAAAGTACACTTGACAAAGATCTTTGAGATATGGTCATCATTTAACAACCTGTACGCAGCAACTCACTTCCAATACTGTGTACTGTCTTAGTTTATGATACTGTCCATTCACTACAGAAGGTCTGAGATTGGTTCTGAGTTTTGCTTCTTATTGACCAGAGAAACTCAATACAAGGGATGTGCACACCTATGGGGGCACCAACCACAAGGGTCCGGGAAGAAATGGTTGCCCTGGGTCGTAAAGGTTCAGAAAAATAGCCACTTTTGTACCTTTGTGTAGCTTTTATGTTACAGGCAACACAGCCTCTGGTACTGCCTTCTTTTTCTGGTTGAGAACATCAAAATGTAAGTTTTGCTTTTAGAACTTGGGACCCCATTCCATGGGTGTAGAAAATACTCGTCAATCAGCATTGGACGCGTCATCTCATCTAGAGATACTGCCCCTCCTCCGTTTCCTGGCCCTCTTTGGCAAGACTTTCCAAAATGCTACCACCCCTGCCCTTCCCCGTGCCCATCCCGCCACATCACGTCTTCTATCCTCTGGACGGAAGTGCTCAGCTGGCCTGTCCTGGCAGGACATTCCCAGACTGCGGCCTGCAGACCAGCTCCACCAAAGCCCCATCTCCCTACAGAACACTCCAGGACCCAGGACGGCGGGAGTCAGGGGCCCAGAAGGAAGGAAGGTGGGCGGCCCCTGCGCGTCCCCTTCCCATAAACGGAGAAAGCGGAAGTGGCGCGCGTCCTCCTGCGGCCGGAACAGAGCCGGGATCTCCGAGTGGCAGGGGGGCGGGGGGGGCGGGGGGGACGCAGGCGAGCGTCCTGGCCTGCGCGGCCCGCGAACTCGGCCTGACGGGGCCCCAGGGCAGCTGACCCCGCGCGGGCGGGCCCGTCGCCCCCACTCCCTGACCGGCTGAGGAGGGGCTGCGGCCGGGCTGCTGGGGTGCCCAGCTAAGAGGCGCCACTTACGTCGCTGATCGTCGCTGCCCAGCGCCCGGGCTCAGGGACGGCGCGCACGGCCGCGGGGCCGCAGCACAGCAGGCAGAGCGCGGCGCGCAGCAGCAGAGGCCCGGCCGACGGGCGGCGCACGGCAGCCATCTTGACTCGGAAGCCACCTGGTCCCGGGACACCCGCTGGACTGCCGCTCCAGGTCGCCCCGCCCGAAGGCGACGTTGCTCCGACCGGGAAGCGGACCGGAGGAGGATCAGGAGCGTGGGAAGTGGGGCGGGCGGGGGAGAGGCAGCGTGGGGGCGGGGCCAGGTTTGGGGCGGGGCCTGATGGGCGGAGCTGGAGGAGGGGAAGGAGCTTGGTAAGGGTGGGCGGGGCGAGATCATATTGGGGGCGGGGCCAGATGGACGGGCCTGGAGGAGGAGCGGGAGCTTGCGAAGGGTGGGCGGGGCGAGATCAGATTGGGGGCGGGGCTGGAGGAGGAGCGGGAGCTTGGGAAGTGGGATGGGCGGGGCGAGGCCGGCGTGGGGCCCCCACGGGGACGGGGCCAGAGGAGGCAAACTCACGTCCCAGGCTGGTCTTGCTGTGGTAAGATACTCAGTGGGGTGTACTGGGTGGAGTTCCAGGTTCCAGGGCTGCTCTGTATGTCTCAGTTTCGCACGTGCCCCTAACATGACCCTCTCAGCTTAGGGCAGACAGATGGTCTGTAAAATCATAAAAAGTACTTTGAGGTCAGGGTCAGTTGAACCCAAGGCATTGTGCTGTGTACAGAATAGTTGATTTTCAGAACATATAAAGTTGCTGGGCTTGGGTACTTTGCCAGCATTTTGGCTGTCTTGCCGACAAAGAGAACTACTTTTAAATAATTCTTATTGGTCAGGCTGGTGTGTCTCAGTGGTAGACTATGAATTCAACCTATGAATCAGTAAATCATGGTTGGATTCCAGTCAAGGGCACATGATCTGGTTTTGGGCTTGATCCCTTGGGGGGTGTGCAGGAGGCAACCAATCTGTGATTCTCATCATAGATGTTTCTATCTCTCCCTATCCTTCCTTTCTGAAATCAATAAAAGTATGTCTTTACAAAATTATTATTGAATGTAAATAAGCTCAAGAGGGAGACTACAAGCCTGAATTAACATAGTCATTAAGGTAACCTAGGATTGATTGATAGTCAAAAGCTCCCAGCTTCCTTATCAGTCACCCCAACTACTTTTAGTAATTATTGAGGTTCTATTCTATACTTGAGTTTGCATATGCATCTTCCTTTCCCAGCAAGCAGTGCGATCATGTCTGTGTGGGTGGGAATGTGGGAATAATGGTGTCAGAGGTTTAGAGGGTAGGTGAGGTGGGAAGAGAGGACATGAAATGACATTAGGAACCTACAGAAGTTAAAGGTGAGTTAGCTGTGGGAAGCCAGGGGTGGGCTTGAAGATGTTTTAGTTAAGAACAGCTTGTGCCAAGGCCTTGGGGAAATTGAAAGACTTTCTAGGTGATTAGATTTTAGTGTGAGACTGACATGGGAAAGACAGTATTTTAACAGAATCAAAATATACAGGTCCTCCTAAGCCATTTCAGGAAGTTAGCGCTTTAGTCTAAGAACATCAGACAGGCAGTCATGGTTGTTAAGCAAGGAAAAGGATGTGTCCAGAAAGGTCATTTTTGTTGTCATATGAAAACTGTGTTAAGGTGTGCAATGGGAGGACTAGTTAAGAATCCTGTAAATTTTTTATGGCCAGTTAATAAGTCACAGTATTCTCAGAAGTAGCCATGGGGATGGATTAGCCTGGTGGCTGATTAGATACTGAGGCTTAGGAAGGAGGGGAGTTGAGCCTGCTACCAAGGTTTCTGGCTGGAACATATGAGCTGTTGAACACCCAAGGAAGAGAGAATGTGAACACGTTAGGTTCAAGCTCCCCTGGGGATGTCCATTTAGTAGATATGAGTCTGATGTCAGGAAAAGCATTTGGGATTCTGTGAGCATCCTCATGTAGATAGATGAGACTGCCAGGGAGACCAGAACAGTGGGAGGAAAGGAACAGTGGAGGTAGAATCCTGAGGAATTAAGGGTCATGAAAGGGTCATCAGAGCAATTGGGACTCACTCCTGGCTGTGCTGGAGTCACTGAGGAGCTTTACATAGTACCCAGTCACCATTCTGGAAAGATTGTGGAAGTGGAGATGGTGTAGTTATTAGTCTACCTGGATTTTCCCCTAAAGTAGTATAATCTAAAATGTACAGTCAATATGCACAACAGAATCAGGACAAAGTATCCCCAAAAAACTCCAAAGACTAGTAGGTGCTATCATCATCTGGACAGGAGGAAGCAGGGGGAACAATGGGATACCAGACAGACCTGAGACAGGAAAATCCCAAATCCCCAGCAGGTACTCGCTGCCAACCCAAGAACAGAACCAGAGCAGACAGGGAGCTCCCTAGAATCTGATTTGCAAGTGAGGGCAAAGGTTTGCAAGGTCCTGCAAACCTGGGTCTTATACATTGAATCTAACAAATGGACAGTTTCATCCAACAATGCTCCACAATGAAGAAATCTATTGAAAGCAGAATTCAAATTCAACAGTACAGGGACAATATGGGGAAAAGAAAGAGAATGTTAGATAAAAGTGGGTGTAGTGAACAGAGATATGAGCACATTTAAGGCCATTAAAGTAGTTCATGAAAACAAGAGGGAGCTATAGAGAGTGAAGCTAGAAATTGTATTCAGTTCAATACTTCCTAAAAGTTTAGGAAAATTAATTTCACATAAGATAAGCAATAGTGAAGCTATAGGGGTGTGTGTGTGTGTGTGTGTGTGTACAGTTATCCTATCTAATAAAAGTAATATGCAAATTAACCACCATCCCACTATATCCACAAGCCACACCCACCATCCAATCAGGAGCGAGTATGCAAATTAACCCAACCAATATAGTTGTGGCCACAGAGTGAGCAGGAGACTTGGGTTTCCCTGGCAATGGAGGAAGCCAAGCTTTCAGCACACCCTGGCAGGCCCAGGCCTCAAGGCTACAAAGTTTCAATTATAGAAGACAAATAAATCCCAGATACCAGGGCCTCTGCTTGGGTCTTTGGGGAGTGTGGCCCGCCTGCAAACCACCATAGGCACCTCACCCCGGCCGCCCCACACCCCAAGGGAACCTCCAACCTGATCCAGGACAGCCTTCAGAACAAACCAACTGGTCCCCACCCGTGAAGATGCTTGATATGCTATCTAATAAAAGAGTAATATGCAAATTGACCATCACTCCAACTCACAAGATGACTGTCCCCATGTGGACACAAGATGGCCACCACAAGGTGGCCAGCAGGGGAGGGCAGTTGGGAGAGATCAGGTCTGCAAGGGAGGCAGTTGTGGATGATCAGGCCATCAGAGGAGGGCAGTTAGGGATGACCAGGTCTACGGGGCAAGGCAGTTAGGGGTGATCAGGCCGGCAGAGGAGGGAAATTGGGGACAAACAGGCTGGTAGGGGAGCAGTTAGATAATCAGGCTGGGATGAGAGTGGTTAGGGGGTGATCAGGCTGGCAGGCAGAAGTGGTTAGGGGCAATCAGGAAGGCAGGCAGGTGAGCAGTTGGGAGCCAGCAGTCCTGGATTGTGAGAGGGATGTCTGACCTACTGGGATCGGGCCTAAATGGGTAGTCGGACATCCCTCTAGGGATCTCAGATTGGAGAGAGTGCAGGCTGGGCTGAGGGAAACCCCCCTAAACCCCGTACAAATTTTGCGTACTAGGCGTCCAGTATTTATATATTATGCAAAGTGTCCCCTAGGGAGACCAGGTCTCTATGATGTGCGCTGACCACCAAGGGGCAGTGCGGAATGAAGGAAGGCCCTGGCCAGCAGTGGAAGGCCCCAATCAGTCCTGATCACCGGTCAGGCCTAGGGACCCTACCCATGCACAAATTTCATGCACTGGGCCTCAAGTTATAACATAAAAGAGAATATGGAGCACAATACATTCCTTCAGAGGATGAAAGCATGCCTGAAAGAGGTGCCAGAAGGGCTAAAACTACAACCTACTATCTCAGAGTAAGTTAAAAGATATTTGCAAAATTATAGGAGATACGTTCTCTCATGCAGAAGGAAGAGGAATTCAGGAAAAAAATTAGAAATAAATATTTCAGAAATAAAGACTAAACTAGAAAAATCCAAGGGCGGATAAAAATAAGTATTAAAAATGGAAGGTAAAAGAAAAATATTAAAATCTAAAATAAATGAAAGTGATATAAGAATTCATGAAGACATTTCAGATGTAGAAGATAGGTAAAACAAAGCCAACATTCATAAAATAGAAGATTCTGAATTAGGCAATGCAACAGAATACTAAAAAATATAATTCAAGAAAACTTTTTTGAAATAAAATGATCTACATAATGATGGGTATATGGGGAGGGAGTGGAAATTAACTGTAAATGACAAACAAAATAAAACTTCAAGTGGAAACTATGAGACGTTTTGAAAAAAAAATTCTTTGTTCATTGAGATAAAAAAATAGTTTTTATAAGAAAAAAATCAGAGTGTAATAAAAATTTTTGATGATAATGCTTTGTACCACAAGACAATGACATAATACCCTTAAGACACACTATGAACACAAATGAGCTTTAAGCGTTTTAAAAATTCATAAGCCATGTTGCTAATAGAATTATTTGTATTAGCCCCAAACTGGCAACAACCTGAATGTCCATCTGCAGTAGAATAAATAATTATTCATCCAACTGAATACAGTGATGAGAATGAATGAACAACTCTACACAATCACATGATTGAATCCTACCAAACACATTGGGCTGAAGAAGCCAAACACAAAAGGATACATATGCTATGGTTATGGCTTCTCTTACAAAAAGTTCAAAAACAGGCAAGACCAGTCTATGGTGTTAGAAGCCAGAATTGCATCCAGTGAGTTGGATTCTGCAGGGCCATTTTCAGCCACTGTTTTCATACTGGCCTGCTCTGTACTTTCCAGTTAGTACTGCTGGGGCCTTTGGGGTTCTGTAATTCAGATCTTTCATATGCCCGTGGAGGGGGCGATGTTACTGACTGAAGGGAGATGAGAAGGATTCTCCGGGGGCCAGCAATGTGTATTTCTTTTTTTCTTTATCTGAGTACTGATCACAGTAGTTCAGTGTACCA